GATCCTACTGAGCTCAAACCACTTTCGATTTAAGATGTGTGTAAAATAAAGAGGCAGCCAGAATAGCCAGTTTCAGTATGAATGTCATGGTACCCAAAAGCCTGTGCTTTAGTTTCCCTTTGTCTTTTTTGGGTTCCTTTTGTGTTACTATTTATGCTTATGAAGTTGTTTACTTAATAATACATTAACTGTGGTTACATCTAATTGCTCTGCAAGTAACTGAGTTTGTTAAAACCTTTTTTTCTAATCAAGATCAGTCAAATAAAATTCACGTAAAAGACGGCAGGATATGAAAACTGGTATTATTTAGCTCTGGTGCAGAAAGTTCAGACCTCAGAATGTAATAGCTTGAGTTTGACAATTTCCCTTGTACTGGGGAACCTGAGACTTTAGCTCCCTTAGGTATACCTATCTCAAGCCTCAGCAGTTCGGCATTTATTTGAAGAGGTGATCCTGTCGAGTGTCTCTGTAGCTTCCGTAACCTGTTACTTTGTGTTTCAGTGGTAGATGAAGGACTATGTCACACTCAGACTGTTTGGTGTTGAAGTTTATTTCATTGATCTCGATGGCAAGGATCTGCCTCCCTGAAAGTCCAACAAAGTACCAATTTTAGGCTTTTTAGTAGAAAATATAAAAAGCTCTGGATGAAAGGCTGCAATTTTGAAGTAAATTTGCTCCTCTTCTGAGCCCTAAATTGTCCGTGCAACCTGTGTCATACAACCAGTACTTGTAAATAATCCGTACGTAGTGTGGCAACAGTCAGGGCTTGTTTCCAGGGCTCAGAAATGCACTCAGTGCAGACAGAATGTAATCATGATGCTCAGGTGGATTTTCTGAAGGGTGACGATGAAGCTCACCGTGGGTTAAAGCCGGGGCAGTGAAAGCCTGTGAACGCTGTGAAAGCCTGTGGGCGCTGCAGGGGTCGAGAGTGCCGGTGTGACGCTCCCCGGCGTGCTGTGCTTGCAGGTGAACCTGTGCAGTTCCTATCTGTCCCTGCGGAGGGCAGTGCTGGCCTGCCTGAGGCAGCTGGCCCAGAGGGAGGCGGCCGAGGTGTCGGAGCACGCCGTGGCCCTGGTCAGAGACCTGCCGCGCCGCGACAGCACCGCGCTGGGTGAGTGAAGGCGGGCTTGCACCATCCCAGCTCGAGAGGCCTCACAGCTACGCACACATGTTGGGAGGGTTTTTTTTGCCTTTCACACTGACCTCTCATCTAAACCTCCCTTGACATCGCTATTCTGCAAGGTCCCCTCTGGTCTCGGTTCCTTTCGGTAGAGTTTGCTCAGTAGCCTTCCTGGGATTCCAAATTCCTTGCAAATTCCGTGCGACCAGTGGTTATGGTGAGGAAGAATTTTGCCATTTACCTTTTTTTACATGTGCAGGGTAGTAACGATTTGTCTTCGCTAACATGCCTTTTTTACTTGGCAGCAGCATGAAAGAATAAATTGCTGACGAATTATTTGATCTTTTTGATGCTAACGCTATAACCACGTTTAAAAGAGTGTTTAGCTAAATTTCACACCTTCTATTAGTTTATGTGCTTTTCACCAAATAAAAGGTGAATTTTCATTTCTTAAGAATAAAGTGGTCAGTTACGAAGAAGTTATGTGTAGAGAGAAGCTACTCCTAATATGGAAATTCGGAACGAGCTGTGTGACCCTGAACCTGCTGTATAAAACCCATCACCTTTGACATCATCATTCATATCTGTATATGAGTGAAGAGTCTATAACTGGATGCTTTTAAGTAGAATAAAAGCAGGCATGACCCAAGTCCTAATAAAACTCAAACATGGTGCGCTTGTGATACCTGGGCTGTGTGATTATCTGTAGCTCGTTGGGTCCATGAGTGGCTGTGGAGCTATATGAGCTCATTCATCAAAGTTCTGTCCTCAGGAGAAATTTTAAGTGATTGTGAATGTTACAAGAAACGTCTGTTGGCTGGTTTACAACACTGAAATTGTTGTACATTATTCATTATGCTTATTATTTATTCCTATTTCTGTGATTCAGATAATGTTTTTTTTTTCCTTCCAGGTATGGGTAGTGTTAACACTGTACAGCCGTAGGGTGATGTCAGTCACCACAGCACTCTAAGACTCAGTGTGACCCCTGCATTGGGGTCACAGGCCAGAAAACAAGAGTCAGACAAAGAGGTGATATTTTGTTTCTCCAGATATCATGATCAAAGAAACTGGCCTGGAGGGGGCGCTGTTTAGTCTCCTGGACAGGGAGCACGATCAGCGGCTGTGCCAGGACATCAAGGAGACGCTGGGTCACATGCTGTCCTCCATCACTGCGGGGAAGCTGGCGCATTGGCTCAAGCTGTGCAAGGACGTGCTTTCAGCCTCCGCCGGTAAGTGAGAGAAAGTCCTGGGCTCCTCTTCCTTTCCAACAGTCACCGTTTACCTACCTCGGGGCCCACTGCGCAGACCTGTGAAATGAATTCCCTTCGCGCTCAGATTTCGCCACTGCTGCCCCGGTGGAGACGACTCAAGAGGAGGAGGAGGGAGACCGCGCGGAGGACACCTCCGTCTTCACCTGCAGGCCCGAGCCCAGCTGCCCCTTCACCAACCCGCGCTGGTCCACGCGCGTCTTCGCCGCGGAGTGCGTGTGCCGCGTCATTGCGCAGTGCCAGAGCGGCGACGAGGCGCACTGCAACATGGCTCTGGCGCAGGAGAGGAGACTACAAGACCCTGCTGGTGAGTGCGGCGGCCCTCTCTGGCCTTTCAGAGATTCTCAGCGGGACTGTACCCCTGCTGCACTGATGGGCTTTCGCAGGTAAACACCCATGAGTGCTGTGTGCAAGTCCAGAATGCTCCGTTACCCTTAAGTCCATGGAAAAACTAACAGGGAAGCCGATTAGAGGGAAAGCAATTCTTTTTAACATCGTCCCTCCCTGAGTCACTAAACTGATGAAGCAGCTGTGCAGTGGGGACCTTCGCTGCTCGTCTTGAGTGGTCAGAAACAGGCCGGCGGCTGATCGCAGCCCTCGCGCTCTCTCCTCAGCGGACTTCCTGGTGCTGCACCTGGCGGACCTGATCCGCATGGCCTTCATGGCAGCCACAGACCACAGCGACCAGCTGCGACTCTCTGGCTTACAGACCCTCCTGATCATCATCCGGAAGTTCGCCGGCGTTCCGGAGCCCGAGTTTCCTGGGCACGTCATCCTGGAGCAGTACCAGGCCAACGTAAGCCCCTCTTCTGCTGAAGCAGTTGTCAGCCAGCTACTCTTTTGCTCAGTTAGACATCAGCAGTCATCTGTAACTGCATCTCTTAAGAACTATGTTCAGATTAATTTTTGATTCTTGTAGCCCATTTCATGACTATGACATCTGCAAAGTGCTTGATTTGATCTTTTTAGATTAAATGTGGCAAAGCTGGATGCTAGAGCCTTTTATTTTCAAAGCTGCCTCCTGCAGCTTCCTTTCAGGTGCGCTGAGTGCAGCTGGCTGCAGTGCAGATTTAGAACGTGTCTACAGGGAACTGTACTCGTCTGCCCTCAGCTGCTGACAAACCGGGTTTATTTTAAAGCCAGACGGCAAGCTTTTCATTAAGCTTTTACATTTTTTAGTTTGCTCGGACAACACAGGAAAGTGACTCACCTCTCAGCTTCTTTCTGTCACGGTTTTGCTGTAGGTGGGAGCCGCCCTCAGACCTGCCTTCAGTCCTGATACGCCACCTGACGTAACAGCCAAGGCTTGCCAGGTACGATGCCCTCTTCAGCTGCAGAGACGAGATCGATTTACCCGTATCTAAAACGAATCAGTGTTATTTGTTTTGTGTATTGCGGCAGCCGGTTTTCTGGGTGTAAAAAGCGAATTAGTTCTCTGATTGTGTTGTGCTTTGAAGACCTCCATTTGTTTCTCTTCCATCATTTTTCTCAAACACACATCTTGTGATCAAAACAATTTTACTGCAGGGGTAGGAAAACCTGCTTATCAGGACAGTTTGATTTCTAGGCCATTTGAAAGATGGATAAAGCAGATACGGCAGGAGAAAATCTCATTCTCATTCTCAACGAGACAGACCTCAGCCCTGGTGGTGCTGGGCTTTTAATACCTTGAGTCTTTCTGATCACTTCTGATCTGTGCGTGACCCATAAGGCAGATCTTTCCCCTCGGCGTCTCTCGTCAGGCTCCAGACTAACGAGACTGAGCTCCTTACCTCCTTGTGAGCGTGAGCTCGGTCAGTCGGGGGTTACAGCTGTGGCTCTCGTTACCTGTGGACAGGTGTGCAGCGCCTGGATCGCCAGCGGGGTGGTCAGTGACCTGGGAGACCTGCGCAGGGTGCAGCAGCTCCTGGCCTCCTCTCTGGTCAAGGTGCAGGCCGGGAAGGAGGTGCACAGCCAGCTGTACAATGAGAGCACATCCACCATGGAGACCCTGGCCGTGCTCAAGGCCTGGGCAGAGGTAAGGACACAACACCCTGCACTTCAAGCCTGCAGAACAGCATGCACTTTGCATACTTACCCTTCGAGTTCACTTTTACGCAGAAACAAGTGAGCAGTATGACAGTAGCACTTTTCTGATTGATTTGATAGAGTTTTGTGGGTCTTTGGTTTCGCGTTTGGGTTTGAAATGGTTTAAACCTGCATGCAGTGTGAATTGTGGCGTTGTTTGATTTGAATTGACTCCTACAGGAGGGCTTCACCTGACGCTATTCCATGTGCTGTGGGGCGAATGGGAGTCCTGATTATTTTCCTCTCGGCCTTGTCTCTCACCGTGGCTGTTTCAGGTGTACATCGTGGCCGTGGAGAGCCCCAAGCAGAGCGACAGTCCCCTGAAGCCGCCGAGGGCGGCCGGCTCCTCGGATGACCCGGGCAGCTCCTCAGTGGACGGGCTGCTGCGGTTGGTGCAGGCCGACCTGGCCACTCTGAGCCGGCTGTGGCTGGCCGCGCTGCAGGACTACGCCCTGCTCACTCTGCCCCAGGAGTACGCCTCTCAGCTCCCTGCCGGAGGTGAGCCTCTGCACCCCTCTCCGTCACGTCCTTCACGACGCCCGCAAAGATACTCTGAGGCCCAGAGATAACGTGAAGCGTAGAGATGAGCTGTTAGTGACTTGGCTGATGCTTTCATACTTGCACCTTTTTGTTCAGCTAGGGCATTTTTCTGGAGCACTCTGGGTAGAGTTACCTTGCATGAGAGGGTCGCACCTGTGCCCCACCTGGATGAGGGCTCGCAGCCTTCTAGTGCCCCACTCAACTCACCTCAACTTTATTGTCATTAAACTTACACAGGTGCATAGTATAATGAAAAGTGTTTTTCATTAGTCACTCAGGTGCAGTATATAAATAGGACAGAATATAAGACAATAGACAGTTACACAATAGCAATAACAGTAACATGTAATAACATAACATAAATAAGATGTAATCAAGTAATCTTGGGTGGGACCTGGGTGGGACTGGGGCCTGGAGCTGTTGGGTTATAAGTCCAGAGCTCTTACCACTCCACACTGCTGCCTGTGGTGAAGCATGGTTATGGTTGTGTTATGGTCATGTCATGCTGACATATTAGTTACACTATCACAGTTTCTTTGGTGGAGTGTTATGACAGCAGTCTGAACTGTACCGTGCTGTTGACGTGAGATTGCGAAACGAGGTGTTCTTTCTGTACACGATGCCTTCTGCGGTCCCGTGTGTCTGTTACGGGTGTTGTCCTTTTTCAGGTGGCGCGTTTTACACTGCAGAAACAGTAGAGCACGCCAGGCCCCATTACTGCAGCTCCTGGGCTCCCATTCTTCATGCTACTGCACTCTGGCTCAGCAGCACGGGGTTCATCGTGGTGGACGAAGGGCCAGCCAACCTGTCCAGGCCCGTCACCCCGACCTCCATGGGTCAGTCCACTTCACTGGCCAGCGTCAAGTCTCCGGAGGACGTCAACACTGACCGCTTCCACCTCATCTTAGGTCAGGAACAACTGTCCCTTCGCTCTTCATCTAGCAGACATTCATGTTCTTCCAATCGCGTAAAACGTGGTACAGGATAAAACTAACTTTTATCATGAGAACAGGCAGTTCAACCTGCTTTTCCTTTTCCTGTCTGCGAATTGTATATCAAAGCTGTTGCCTGATTTTTTTAAGGGGTGATGTTGCTTGACAGTTACGTGACTCGTTTTCTAAAATCTGCTTGTAATATGGTCGAGGAATCTAAACATGAGGTAGCGGTGAGGGTGGTGGGGATTTGACAGACACTTCTGTTAAAAGGCCAGGTGCCAGGAAGTGTTGGGTCTGTGGTCGGTTGAGTCCGTGAAGCACTGATCAGAGCCCTGGTGTGTGCAGGGATCAGCGTGGAGTTCCTGTGCTCGCCTCGGTCGGACACGCAGATGGAGAGCATCTCCTCCTGTCTACACGCCCTGCAGTCTTTGCTGGACGTCCCTTGGCCGAGATCTAAAATTGGAAACGATCAGGTATTTCACACTCTTCGCCATTGCTTTATATTCAAGCACATTGCTGCCCTCGCGTACTTTGTGATCATCACCTGATAGCACAGTTGTTATACAAAACCTACAGTACATTTATCACGGACCGTCTTTCCGTTTTTGAGCAGTGGAATCAATTGTAAGGTACACTCTTTCTTGTTGAAGGATATGTGTAAGTGCCGTCATGGTTATTATAAAGGTTGTGTTCACATGAAATACAGATTGGAACATTTCGTTCGGACTAAGCCCCAGTGGGAAGTAAGTGGGCACCTTCACGGGCACTGACCCCAAAGTGCTGTTGCCCTGCAGGCCCTCAGCGTGGAGCTGCTCAGCGTGCTGCACCGCCTGGTCCTGACCCGCGAGTCCCCCGCCGTGCAGCTGGCCGTGCTCCAGCTGGCCCGCCAGGTGGTGTGCGCTGCCCAGGAGCACGTCAAGGAGAAGCGGCACAGCGCGGAGGGTGGGCGCCTTCGGCTGGATTGCTGACGAACCGATGCGGGTCTCGGATGCGTGGCTTTGAGCATGCTGGCCTTCGTGGGGCATAGATCAGTCGGGGGAGCCCCAGGTGGCATCGGGGATTTTCTTGATCTAATTTTAGAATGAAACTTAGTTGATGAGGGGACTCTGTGCAAGTTATGAGACACTGGTAAATGCTATGATTGGGGGGGGATCATTAGATTTTAAACTGTTTTAGATGTTTTTTGTGCTGAGTTTTTGCTGCATTATTTTCACACACCAAAGTTATAGGCTGTCAGGCACCTCTTCCTGAGATTAAATAATCACTCCAGAAGAGAGCAAGCAATGATTATAATCACAATGATTGTGATTATACTTATTGGACACTCCACTGTAAAGTGCTTTACAGGTAATGGGGATCCCCTCCACCTCCTCCAGTGTGCAGCCCCACCTGGATGATGCGACAGCAGCCATAGTGTGCCAGAACGCTCTCCACACACCAGCTCTCAGTGGGGAGGAGAACAGGGTGATGAAGCCAGTTCATAGATGGGGCTTAGCAAAGGCAGGAAGGCAGTGCTATGCTGGTCTGTAGCATTGCTATGGGTGTGCAGTTCATTCCTGCCGCTTGTGCTTGCAGTTGACGATGGTGCCGCAGAGAAGGAGACGCTCCCGGAGTTCGGGGAGGGCAGAGACACAGGGGGCCTGGTGCCAGGGAAGTCCCTGGTGTTCGCCACGCTGGAGCTCTGCCTGTGCATCCTGGTGAGGCAGCTCCCACAGCTCAACCCGAAGCTGGCTGGCAGCCCTGTGGGGCAGGGAGGCCAGCCCCAGCCCCTTACCGAGAACGACTGCAAGCTGGTCTCTGCTGCCCTGGGCATCCTTTCTGACCTGCCTTCCATCTGCTCCCCTGAAGGTACCCGTAGCTTCGTTTTGGGGTTTGGCTGAACAAAAGCTCCTGCAAAGACATGAAGTCAGCAGTGCTTAATAGGTATTTGCCCAACTCCAGATTTCGTCTTGGCCTTCAAATATGATTCGTTTTCAAACGAGCTTTGTTAAGGAAAACCTCACGCAGTCATGTGGCCTCCTGTATTTTGGTGAAGTCTCTGTGTTAAAACCTGATTCGCTCCCCTCACGAAGTCAGTCGCTCCTTGTAAAGGAAAGCGGCGCGGAGGCCGGTTCTGCAGTGACGGCCGGCTCGGTTCTCCTCGCAGGCAGCGTGTCGATCCTCCCCACGGTGCTGTTCCTGATCACCGGCGTGCTGCGCGAGGCCGTGCTGCGGGGGCAGGGCAGCCCGCTGGCCCTGGTGGTCCCGGTGGCCCTGCAGGCGCTCCGGGCGGTGGTCTCGTCCCCCATGGCCCGCACCGAGAAGAGCCACGCCGCCTGGACCGGCCTGCTGCGCTGCGCTCTGGCCACGCTGCTCGACCTGTGGGACGCCGGTAGGTCACCCCGGCCCCCAGCCCCGCTCCCCGCCTTCGCGCGGCCGCGGCGGCGGAATTCGGTTTTGCCGAGGCGACTCGTTCACGAGTCTTGGGACGACTTGCTGCTCAAGCTGAGGTCTCCAGCCTCTTGACCGAGACGGACCGAGCAGAACTGTTGTTTTTTTGTTTGAACAGGCGAGTCTCACCCAGAGGTGGACGAGGTCAGTCTCCTCACAGCACTGACAATTTTCCTGCTGTCCGCTAGCCCGGAGGTCACCACCGCGCCCTGCCTTCAGACCCGCTGCATCGCCAAGTTCAGAAGAAGCCTGGAGACGCAGGATCCTGTGGTGAGCTTGACCTCCTCGGCTGCCTCCCCATTTACAGGAGGACACCCACTCTTACACAGTGGCTTCATTTTTGCTGGTGTGGGCACTGTCAGAGAGTAGAGTTCTTTGCTCATGCCAAAGAGAAAGCACACTTCTGTTTCTCTGAATGTACAAAACTTACTGCACAACAACTGTGTAATAATAGTTATATTACAGTATTCTACTCCTGTAGAATTCTACTGTACAATACTCTACTGTAATAACTGTGTTATTACATAGTTGTTGTTGTGATATCTCTTCGCCTCCCCCCCCATCTGCGGTTCTCGCTGTATAGGTTTTGACGAAGAGCTGCCAGCTGCTGCAGACCGTGTTCCAGAGCCCCAGCCCGGTGGTGGCGATACCCTTCATCCAGGCGCTGGGCCCGGCCATCGTGGGGCGGCTGCGGGAGGTGGAGAAGAGGATGCCCCAGAGCGTGGCCGAGCTGCAGGCCGCGCAGGAGGGGGTGCGGGCCCTGGAGGCGCTGGTGTCCGTGGCTGACGAGGAGTGCCGTGAGTGCCGGGACAGCGGAGGCGCGGACCTCCCCTGTGGTTCGGGGTTCAGGCAGAAGCAGAAGTCTGAAAGGAGAAGAGGTTTACCAGAGAGTAGCTATAAGGTTCATTGCAAGACGTGTGTATAACCATGGTGTTGGTGCACAAGACAAATGTCCCCGAAAGCCAAGCTCTGCCAGTGTTGGCTTCAAATCTCAGTATGTCCCAGTACTCCTGCATTCCCACTGTCCCACAGGGGTTTGTCTGTTTCTGCAGAGGACCCCATGTTAAAGGATGAGAAGGGTTCTTGTGGGATCTCCACACTGGAGAAATTAATTCATTGTAATTGTTGCATTTTGCACGAAACCATAAAAATCTCTAGTGAAAGATGTGGTTTCACAGTTAGAAATGACCATTTATTTGTTTTTAATGTAAACTGATGTCTTGTAGACGAGTCATCTGTTATTAGAGATGCCTGGTTGCAGAGCTTGTGAGAGGGAAACTGATGTTCTTCTCTCTCTGTCCATTCCTCTGTTTGTAGGCTCCCAGCTGGTGGCAGTCTTGCTGCCCATTCTGATCTCATTCCTGCTGGATGAGAACGCGCTGGCCTCCGCGCAGCTCCCCGCGCGCAACCTGCACGAGTTTGCCCTCCAGGACCTGATGCGGCTCGGCCCCCAGTACTCCGCGGTCTTCAGGTCCCTCATGGCCAGCTCCCCGCCCATGAAGGCGCGGCTGGAGGCCGCCGTCAAGGGCAATCAGGAGAGCATCAAGGCCAAGACCGCTGCCCGAGAGCCCAGACCCCCTGGGAAGAACTCTCCCAGCATCCAGCTCAAGACCAACTTCCTGTGACGCCAGTGTGGCCTTGAAAAGATCCACTGGGGATGTGCACTCGCTTACTGTAGAACGTCTCACACTGTAACTCTCAATTAACACTCGAGGCACGCGGAGTCAGTGAGCATTTCTTTACTGTTAGTTCGCCAAAAAAAAAAAAGAGATTTTTATTTTTATTGATTATTTTTTTAATCTTAAGTAGTGATTAGGCTTGATTCAGATTTTATTGGAAGTGTTTGAAAGCTCTTGGAGGAAGTGGAAGAAGGAGTGGTATGAGGATGATACAGAATGGGAACTGGTCTCTGCAAAGACCTTTATCCACTTAAAGAGCTAAAATGGATCAGGTAGCCCAAATGTACTACCTTGTCTCCCTGGGGAGGCACTGTGAGGGCTTGGGGAGGAGCTCAGGTAGTCTGTTCCTAGGCAAAGAGAGAAATCTTACGCCTTTAGCCTACTGCAAAGAAGCAGAAGTGGGTGCATTTCCAGAGACGCATAATTAACAAAGTCTTTCACCAACTTTTCCTCCAGATGAAAAATTGAACCCAGTGTCAGTATTGGTACAGTATCAAACCTGAGGAATACTAGGAGCCTGACGGCAGTTATTTGCACTTCAGTCAGAAGGGAGGAAAAAAAAGCTTGTTTTGTATTACTAAATGCAGCAGGATGTAGTGACTTCTCCAAGGTACTAAATATTGTGAGTTTTAGTATTGTTAATCTTAAAATTAAGGTGGACCAGCTAATGGTAAACTCCAGTTCCTTTTAGAAACAATAGTTTCACAAATAGGAGCTATCTAATATAATAAATAGCAAATATAAGGGTTATTGCCAGAAATTGCTTGATAACTTAAAAGCTTTCAGGTGAACCTGTATTTTCTGGGCCTGGCAAACAAATCCAGTTCACTTTCAGTGTCAAGACAAAACATTTTTTTGTTCATTTCCTAAATGGCAAAGTAGGGTAATTGCTAATGATTAAAATGTGCTCTTAGATACGTAAAAAACTGCACAACAGACAAATAAAATCTGCTGAACAGTTTGGTACCTTGTTCGTCCTTTTGCAGTATTTAAGTCCATTAAAGCATAATGCATGCTTTTATACAACCTGATTTGCTCTTACAGTATTAACTGAAATAGTAATGAAAATATGGGCCATTTTATGAAAATGTAGTAAACCTTTATTTTGTCAAGAGGAGTATTGTAATAAATTTGAGTATTTTTTTCCAGCATGGCATTCACTCCAGCAGTGACACATAATAATGTAACAGCAAGCTAAATAATTGTACACAAAGTGGCTGAGAGAGTATACATCTTCCAGCTGGATTATCTTGATTCTCTTACGTTTCATTTTACAATTTAGAATTGTGAGAAAAATGCCCTATAGCACGAAAATACTAATTTGTGTTTCTGAGCTCTTTTCCACTGTTGCTGTATTAATGGCTTGGAAAGCAAAAGAAGTTAATAAATGTGATTCTACTAAATTTCATTTAAACTGACAACCTTCAAAATATATTACAGATAAACTGGTAGAGATCTGTTTTTTTTTCTGTCCACTGAGGTAACTAATTCAGAATTGTGATTGGTATCATGGATTTTTAATTTCTCTTGCAATGTCATTACAGCAATGTTTAGTTAAATATAAAGATGATTCAGAAGGTATTTGGTAAAACAGCAAGTGGATTTTGTTTTCTAATATTAAAACCCACTGAAGTGTGGAGGATTGGAGAAGTAATAAGTGTGGATCAAATAGATTCCTGGTATTAATCCCCTATTTTCCAAACTCCTGAAGCACTTTTATCATGACAAATTGTGTGTAACATACTTTATTAATTGCATCATAAAACAGTATTTTGTACATAACATTGTAAATTGTACAGACTTAACAATTTGACTTAAATCCTAACAATTTTTTCTAATGTACTTAAAATAAAGCCTAATTTTTCTCTTAATTTCTGGTGCTGTCTGTTTTCAGTGATTGTAAACAGGTGGTTTATATTATTGTAAGCCTACGGCGTGCGGTATGAATCTTATCTCAAACACTGGAGACTCAGTGTGAGTAAGATCAGTAACATCTCTGTCATGATGTTCTTATCCAGTCTCTTAATGATAGGCACCATGGGACATGTCGCTGTGTGCTGTTGACTTAATGTTTGCAGGAAGCCTCATTTGACAAGATCTTGTTTTGCCTGCATTAAGAGGACAAATATGGGTTAACCTTCAGATTCAGATTGGGGCGGAGCAGTGGCTCTGTGGCTCAGGATCTGTCCCTGTGGCTGGAAGGTTGGTGGTTCAAATCCTGCAGCCGGCAGAGGAATCCTACTCCGTTGGGCCCCTGAGCAAGGCCCTTCACCCCAGCTGCTCCAGGGGTGCTGTACAATGGCTGACCCTGCGCTTTGATCCCAGGCTCTCTCCCTGTCTGTGTGTCTCATGGAGAGCAAGCTGGGGTATGTGAAAAGATGAATTCCTAATGCAAGAAATTGTACAGGGCTAATAAAGCAACATAAGATTCAGTAAGCGTTTGTAACATTGGGATAGTTTTCATTTGGTAGCTGACTAAAATGCAGCATTGTGTATTTTAAGTGAGCTTGTCCCTATACTGTATAAGCTTATACCATCCAAAAATCGTTGCTCAGGCTTTTTCTACCTCACAGGACCCTCAGATTTGGTCTTAGTGTGCCCTTTGAATGTTTCTCCACTCGAATCCAGAGAAGGATTGGTTGAGGAGCTGGGGATTCTTCTCTCTGGGAAAGTCAATCCCACAGCAGGAACTGCAGCCCTTAGAAGCCCTGTGCTGGCTTCTTCACTGCGTCACGATTTTTTTCTTGATACCTCAGGGCCTGTGGCTTCTCCTTGCACCTGTGCTGTGTAGATCACAGTTCTGGAGGAGAGAGCTGTTCTATAACTAGTTTCCTCAGACAGGATTGCTTCTGTCATTTGTCTGAGGCAATGGCAAAACACTGTCACCTTGCTCGAGGAGACAAAGTGAAGCTGCAGAGTTTGTGTTTTTGTCTTTCTGGAGCACCCCAGTCCTCTATTGCTCTAGGTCAGACATAAAAGAGGGACACGGGTGTGCGTCCTGTAACACAGTAATGAAAATTGAGAATCACAGTGCTGCTTTATTATGACTTCACTCATAATTGAAGTCACTGTCAAGATAATTGAACGCATCACTTGCATGGCATCTTATGTATGGTGGAGTCCAGCAATTTGATTAGCAAAGCAAATATAAAATGTTGAAAGAATAGATATTCAATTAATGACTGGCTGCATTTTGGTTTCTTTATGCATGTAAACAGACAGTACATATTAGCAGTCCTCATTGATTGTAATGAAAGAATACGACCTGCAAACCCCTCCCTGTTCCTTTTTACAGTTGAAGGAGCAGTTTTGTCTTCCTCAACCTTTTTTTACATAATGCAGTGCCTTTGAAAATGTAACTTGTATATCCAAAACATCTGACAATATGGGTCTGAGAAGGAGTATAGAATTATATTAAGTATGTAGCTGTGACAGCCTACAACACTGACATTGGCATAGGAGTTTTCTGTGGAAAGCCTCCAATTTGAGATTGGGAGGACTGTGGGGCAGCATACAGAACATGAATCCCTTATGTCTTGAGGTTTCAATTCTGATATCCTACAGTGAGTCTTTTCTTTGATCTCTTGTGTAGGAAATTATTGATGTAATTCAGTGTTCCTGGCATGCTATCTGCAGTGGATCGAAATGCTCGTTTTTGTTAATGTCAAGGTGCACACCTCCTTGAATCATCCATCACGCATACTGTATGTGAAAGGTGTGCAGTTGATTCAGGGGCTATTAGCAATATGACATTTACTTAATATAGAAAAATTGCACAACTTTAAAGCAGATGTAAGGATGTGACATCTGGACCTGAGATTTAAGCACTCCAGTAATGATCACTTTTCATTGACCTTATATCCAAACATTCTAAAAAGGTGACATTGCACAATTCGTGTAGCTCAAATTCTAATAATTGTGATATGACGCTTCTGTGAAGTTTTGAATATGTGGTGAACGCAATGGCTCCTTGGAAGGAGCTCTTCATAGGTGTACAGAGAAAAACTGAAGCATTTTTAACTAATGAGAAATATTCCTTTAGACAAACAGGAGCCTAGTTTTGTTTTTCACCCAATGCTAAGTGTAAAACTAGCTCTAGGGATTGATTAGATGCTGGTACTCTTGGGAACAGACGTCACAGAGTGATGTTAAGCTCCTTAGAGTAAATTTCCTACTTGACAGGTGATATTCCAGAACAGATCTTGTGAGCGACTTAAATGAAACGGTAAAGTACAGCACAGAACACTACACTCCAGGTGGGCTTGTAGCCGCTCAGAAATCATTGCTGAGGCAAGACAAGAAAAACAAAAGGCTGAAATGGACAACAGAAAAGCAACTGGGTTGATCAAACCTGAGAAACGACCTTATCTTGTCTCCTTTAGGTTATTTGTAATACAGGCCTAAGTGCTGGCTCAGCTCAGTGGATAAACTCTTTTTAAGGCTTTTAAACTAGGCTTCTGAAAGCTTTTGTCAGGGCCAATGTTCATAATGACCTCATTCATTATGACCTCATCAGCACCTCAGGGAATGGGTTTGGTCTCATACCATCTGAAGGCATGCCCAAGTGAGATCAGTGCTGGTTACGCCCATAAGAGTATGAGGGCCAGATTCCTGTGAAACATCTTCGACTTAGCACAGGCTGTAACTATTATTGGCACTGGCAAGGGTGACATTAGTATGTTCAGTATCATATTTATGTAATCAAAATAACAATTTCACTTTAAAATGCAATACTGCTATAATAATTGATGCAGGTATTTTCGCTATGGTGATGAACATTAGCCAAATTCATAGCTGATCAATGGGGAGTCTGAATGGCACAACCTGCTGGGATGTATGGCTGCTGTTTGAAACAATGCAAGCTGGATTGTATTATGTCACAGATGCCGTCTCTTGGGGCTCATCATTCCTTTGGATGATTCCTGGATGAGCCTGTGCCTCTTCACTGGTCTCTGAGGTCTAGATGCCACAGGTCATCCCAGCACATCCCACAAGTGTTCCATGGAGGAGAGCTGTTCTACGGCACCATGCTTTGGATAAGACTCAACACTGAGGTTCTGAATCTCTGTGGTCATTAAGAATCCAAGGGCGTTTCTCAAAAATAGGAGTGTTACCCCCGTGTCCTGGCCAACTTTCCCCCTGGCCTTTACCAATCAGGGCCTCCTAATAATCCCCATCTATGATCTGGCCTCATCGCCCTGCTCTCCTCCTCACTGAGAGCTGGTGTGTGTGATGAGCGTTCTGGCGCACTAAGGCTGCCGTCGCATCATCCAGGTGGATGCTGCACACTGGTGGTGGTGGAGGGGAGTCCCCATTACCTGCAAAGAGCTCTTAGTGAAGTGTCCAGAAAAGCACTATGCAATTGTAAAGAATTATTACTATTATTATTAAAGTGGGACTCCATGTTAGTACAGTAACATTCTGATCTTACAGGAGAGACACTATGACATAAGCTGCACGAGGATGTGTGTTGGCCAGCAGGAAGAGATCAATGTACTGTAGCACCGTTCAGTCACGCTGCCATCAGTCACAACTGGGTTCTGTTGCGACTAAACATCTTGCCCAGACCATCACATTTTGACCTCCTCATCACTTTTGTCACGGTCTCTCGGATTGTGGCCTATCTATGACGCACTGTGGGTATCATCTTCCTGAGTTAGTAATTGCTGGCTGTGGACTCTCCAGACGGGGAGCGACGATGCTCTGGCCTCTGTAATGCAGTGAAGACAAAAAAGCCTTTGTTTCATTCATAAGTGAGGCAAGTTGGTTCTTTTCTATATTTAACCTTCTTGATTTTTGCTGGGCTTGACTTTCAACAAGTTGTCACCTCATTACCTGTAATAATGAGGAGTATTGGCATTACTGCAAGTCAGAATCGCTTATTCATTCATCATGATCAGACATAAATTATCAAGATGAATCAATGAGCAAGAAATGCTTGAAACATTTAATCAATATCAGAAATGGACTTTTTAAAAAATGTTTTGATGACCAATACACAGTGGGTAATAACTCATTATATCACATGAACATTGCATAAGAAGAGTGTTTGATGTTCCTTTTTGAAAATGCCATCGTTCAAATATTGTTATTTGTTATTTCACAAGCGGTTTTGACTAATTCATATCGCTTGCTGATAATGCGTAACGATGAAGTCACTGTGTTCAGCGCAACACAGAAACGTTTTGTTTGTCCGGCGTTTCACTGAATTGCATCATGCTGCATTTTCAAACCACGCGAAAGGTGTCAGGACAAGATACGTTTCGGTAAATATGATGAAATTGAACAGTACTGGGTAAAAAAAAAAACTCCACTTCCCCCATTCCTACTGGTATTTAAAGCCGACCACGAATGTTTCCCTACCCAAGCATCAGCTAATACTTATCTCAAGGTCAACAAGTAAGGTAATCATGACGCCAGAAGAAAAACAAAGTGGAGAGTCGGTTACCGGGACTGGCTGCCCAAAGTTTCTTTCACGGCCTACGCGTACACACGCCGTGCGCTGCGGTGCTGGGTAACAGCGCCCCCTGCGGCCGGCGCGGTGCCGTGCGCTGCTGTATTGGCAAGAGTGCTGCGCTGGGGGGTTTATTCGCAGAGACTCGTGATGCGGACGGGGACCAGCTGCCTCGCTTCCCCACGGTAGCTCTCTGTCTGAGGTCGGAGCGATCTGTCGGACTTTTCTTTTGTCACTTTCGGCCTCGGTGTCCGGGGAGAGCGAGAGAGTTGGGGGGGGGGTGGGAGGCGGAAATTAACGGGGCGTCGTTGTTCCCGCAGCCTCTGTGATTGATCCTCGCCTTCTCGTTTGTTTTTTTTTTTTACCCGTGTGTGAATCGGTTGTTGTTCCTCCTCCTCCTCCTCTGCCGCAGCGAGAAGGTAAGTGTCGGCGCCGAGCGCGGATCGGGCGGTTTCCTGGGTTGCGGAGGCCGAGCCAAGCGCTAGGGCCTGTGGGCGACTTGTAACTGGAGCCTCGCGGTTTGGAAGAAAACACCGGGCCGGTTGTAGGTTAATGTTGCAAAAACAAAACAACAGAACAATGTAGCCTTTTAACCTTCCCGATAGATATGTGGTATATAACTAGGCGATTGATGTAAGCCTGATTATGTTAGAATTTGGTAGTTTTGGAAGAAACACTCAGTGTTGTGTTAGCGGATAGTTGTTTGTATTTGATGTTTTTTTAAAACACGGCAGTGATGATAAAAGTATCTTTTATGTATCTTATGTATTGGAAGCGTTAAATAAAAATCGAATCCGCAACACTGTCTGGATTTTACATGATGTTTGAGCATATTGCGACTTTTGCCACCGACACATTGCGGTGTTTTTAAAGTTTATCAGCGCATCAACAAATTAAGTTTTTTTTTCCGCATAAGGCCGAACAAATCAATAAAATGGATTCTTAAATCCACGTAGAATAACCTAGTTTTGATTTCCTCGAATCCAGGAAATTCTGTGGGTTAATATTTCTGTTTGAAATTTGAAGGGCAGTAGGTGTTAGTGTTATCAGATGTTCTGTACCTAATCTTATAATCGTTTGTTCCATTTTCGCCTGGTTTCACATGATAAAAGTGTTCTAAAGCTTTTCATATAAGGAATGGCGACAATCCATAATGATTATTGTTTATTCCCCTTATTTGACAGTGCGTTTGAACACGAGAATTAATTACAGTTCTCAGACATTAACCTTTTTTAGGTACTAATGGTCATACAAAAGGCTAAGGGAAACACTCAACAAACCCGATCAAATATCCACGATCATTCACGTTTATGCAAATATAGGCTTTATATATTAAATACTTTTTTTTTTACAAAAAGCTATGTGCGTTTACTGCTATCCTCTTGTTTGATAACGTTATTATTATGTCGTATAGGAGATTAAAATTGATGTTAATGCTGTTACAGAAATGTGTTGTTTGCAAGTACACGGGCCTTCAGAAGCAGTTGTGAAATATGAATATGGAGTGAATGCTTTGTGGGATTTGTTTGGAAGTTGGGGAAAGAATGTGTTAAATTGCCCACCCTTGGACTTAGACAAAAACATAGAGGGGTTTTCACAGTCTTGTTTACAGAACCACAAGCTAAGGAATACAGTGGTGCCTTTGGTCGCACAAAAACTTAATTTATGGGATGTGTGTGAATTAGTAAATTAACTATGTTGTAGTTGTAAAGGTGTTTTTCTCGACATGTTTGGTTAGATGAATGTTTCGAGGAGTAGTACTGCTAAATGCCGCTATGTCCAGGATATTTCACATGGAACGTAAACGTTCATGAAATGACAGGTGCTCAGATTTTGTAACATGGGCTGAAGGGTTTGTAAAGTCTGTCTGTTGGCAGTCTGTTTTAAGTCTTGCATAATCTTGTAGCCTATCTGTCTTATTTTGGGATGGTAGTCTGTCCTGGTGGAGGTGGGGTTTAGAGTTATATTATTGGCTCAGGTCACACTGTAGGAGAGTATGTAGAGTTAAGTGTGATTGATGCAGCGTAGTATAGTACTATATACATGATGCATTTCTTTCTGTAAATTGGACTACACAGAGAGAGAAACATGTAACCCTTTATTTGTTATTTTGATATATGTATATAATGTAAGTGTGCATATTTTAGATCTGTAGAAATGTGTTTCTGAGATGTTACTGAAAAAGACATCAGGCCTATTTTGAGATATACTGCTTTATATTGAATAGTCCACTTTTCTTACTACCACCAGTTATAAATTGAGGCTGCTGGCTCATTAGGCACTGAAAGTAATTAATATTTACCCTAAAGTGAGGTGGAGGACTGTTATTTGATTCTATCAGAAAACAATGGCTGCATCTAAAGTCTGTTTATTGAAGGCCAGGCCCTGACAAAGACGCCGAGCCTATGGTTTCGATTTAAGCAGCTAACTAATCAGCTTAGGCTTTTGTGAGTCCTTCCAAATGTTCACTGTTTGGGCTGCATGTGAACCAGTTGAAAAGGTGGATTCATGCTGCAGGTAAAAATAGGCAGGCTGCTTGAACCTGCATGTTCCATGTCTTCATGCAATCGGATTGAAAAGGACAGCTTACATGTTTTACATTATCACCTTTCTTTTTCTCCAGGTGAAGACTGCATGAGACGGAAGGTGAGAAATAAAGATCTTCCTCTTCCCAGCTGATGCTCCTACAGCAGCCCCGGCTGTAGTTATATTTTTCTCGGATTCCCAGTTGAACCGGTAGCGAGTAGGACTTGGGCTGAAGCTGATTGGGCAGGGGAGTGCCGAGCAGCATGGCCGATGTGGACCCCGACACATTGCTGGAGTGGCTCCAGATGGGGCAGGGGGACGAAAGGGACATGCAGCTGATCGCTCTGGAGCAGCTGTGCATGCTCCTCTTGATGTCGGACAACGTGGATCGCTGTTTCGAAACGTGAGTGTGCCCGCCGCGTCACCCGCGTTTCACGCCAGCCGTCGCCAAGGTTTTGTTGGTGAAAAGTGCAGAGGGTTGCGGTGGGCGAGTGGTGATGGTCTGTACGAATTATTGCACTGACAGCTGTCATTTCCATTTCATTTCTCTCACTCTAAATTAAAAGCCCTCTAGTTACCAGAGGGAGACTCTGCTTTCAGATTGGCTGGATGCTCAGCCACTTGGTAAAGATGGTAACTCTTGAAAATGTTTGAGACATATCACATCTTGAACTTGTTAGTTCCTTAAGTAAAACATCCAAAATACAAAATAGATGTATTTTACAAGATGTAAATGCGATGGTGACTTGCTTAGTGGTTATTTGAATAGGCTTGTTTGCCTTAAGTAATTTGCACATTGACTTGTGCTGAATAAATTTGAATAAGTACGTTTTGCATTTCCCTGTTTCACTGTGCTGTGCAATAAATTGATCAAAAACTTGGTAAATAACTTAATTACTGTTCCTTAGATGGTTTGGACTTAATATTTGTCTAGAAAGGCTTGTGTACTTTAGTTTTCAGCTATTTTAGATTAGAATAGAGTACCTCTTGTTATGTGACGTAAAATCAGACAAGACGTAAGCAGTGTCTGGGGAATTATTGATGGGTTCATTTCTGTCATCTGCACAAAATGTTAAGCATAATATGGTGCTTCAGCTGTCTATTGATAATCTTTACCACTTTGTTCATCATCCTTGGATGTGATTCATTTTTTTGTCCCTGAAGAGAGAGCAGGCAAGCGAGAGAGTAAATTTTAACTTGACCACATCCTTTAACTCACATTTCACACTTATAGCAAACTCTTTGACAAAGTTCTGGGGTGGAAGGTGACCTTCACTCTGTTGATGTATTCAGGGATATCTTAAATCTTCAGTTTGGCGATCCTAGAAGGTGAAGTGTTCCAGTGTAATTACTAAAGTGTGTGTTGAATGTTTTGGTGGGTTGAAAATGAGTCAAAAGTGAAACCCTTGTCTTCACAACTGTTGGTAAAAAGTTGATGATTCAGCTGACTCTTTGTGTTCTAACTGTGTGCTGTTCATTAAGGCTTAGATCATCACATGTCTCTATAGTGTTTTTAGTTAAAAATGAGTCAGTTTCCCTTTTGGGGAGTTGTTTTGGTTGTCCTTAATTTTTACTTTGCCTAGGTAATAGGCAAACTAAGGGATAACACAATATTGGTGCTTCCTCTTGAACTCACTAAGATTCATAAGAGACAACATGACTGCACTTCAAAGTTATTCAGTAGTACCAAACCCATTCTTTAAAATGTAAGGTTTAAGCAAAATTTCTGTTTTAGTCCGTGTTCTGCCAAATTAAAAAAAAAAACATTTTAAAGGGTGAGGAATTGCAGGGCTACCCCCATTAAATGGGATTTTGGAGTTTCTGTCTTGGTGAATTGTTGGATTATGTGAACTAGGGGCTTTACAGTGCATTAAAGGTGTGTCTGGATTTCAACAGTGTGCCTTTTATTGAAATACCCTTAACACTGACTTGTTTCAGAAACAAATGACCCAAGTGCAAATTGTGGTTTCAAAACTATTGGGAATAGTTTTATTTAAATATTACCAAGCCACAGTCCGTTTTATAATCTACTAACAATTGACTTAAATCTGAACAGATGAATATTGATTAAGTTTTGTGCTAGTATTGAATAACACAGAAGTGATTCTTAACTTCTGCCAGGTGTACTAATGCATAACCATATATAACCATATGTATTTTATTCTTCATTACAAACAGTAAGAAGCAATGAGCAACATAATTTAACTACAATGTAAAACATTCTAAAAATCCCAGTCATTTTTCATTCAGATGCTTAACTATTTCAGCCAATACAAACTGGAAAGACAGTACAAGGCAAGCTCTTGCACTAAAAGATGTAAGATTCTTGCGTAGTCTTTCAATCTTTGGTTTTTGTGCAACCTGCTATTTTCATTTCTCATTATTCACTGAACCTATTCACAGCTCTACTCTACATATTAAATTAGATTGTTTTGGGGAGGCTGCTTTTTAAATACTTGACTTTTCTGTCTTTCATTTTAATATCTCTCTGCTTTAATGCTTGTAGTGTCAGTTCTAAAACAATTGCTCAAAAAGGAAGATGGAGACTTCTGGTGATACACTATTCACTATTTCTCTTTTTAATGTTGGCGTGCTGTAAGTTAGCAGTCTGTTAGTGGGCTTAAAAGAGAAAATTAGTTCCAGATGGAGCTTTGGAGTATGATGCCCCTTTTTAATCAGTGGAAGTTTAAGATGCAAAATAACTATAGTCAAATAACTATACAGTAGATCAAAAATCTACCAAGGAGCTTTAAGATAATGTTGTATCTTTTCAAAATTGCCAGTGGAATTTCAATATTTGTATTTAGTTTTGACATTATCTGCAATTCACTATCATTATTCTCCTTCAAACAAACCTTTTGGAGCCTCCTGAGTAGCCCAGCTGGTAAATGCCCTTGCCCGAGTGCCGGTGGGGGTGTGTGAGCCTGGTCACATTGCCGACGGACCAGGACTGGCCAAGTGGAAGCATGCCATTGGTTGACCCTGATCAAGGCCAGGGTGGAAAGGGTCAGACATGGTGCTCTCACCTCTTACCCATGTGCTTGCAGGCAGGGGTTGTGCCTCTCCTCATGTTGGTGCAGAAACGTGGCTTAAGTTAGCTGGGAAAGAAAAGGAGTTTTTAAATAGCCACCGATTCAGTGTGTTCAAAATAAAGTCATAAGGGAAATAAAGATTAGTAAGGGCTTGTAATTTTTTTTGTGTTGTCAAATTGCACTGATCTTAGCCTGTCAGGAATGTCATGAAGTATGTAGCTTTTTTTACAGCATCACAAATGAAAGCATCACAATTTTTTATTACGCTTTTAGGCTTCCTTTTATTTTTGCTCCTTCTGTTTTTTTCCTCCTTTTCCAAATGAGAACGTGGGCTAATTTTAGAACTAGGAGACAAGAATGAGAAGTCAACAATAATAGCTGTTCTGTCAAAAACAAAAACAGTTACATTATTGAAGTAGTGCTACTACTTGCCAATGAATGTTTTTTTTAATACATTCTTAGCCTGTAGCTGTCTGATACAGCATAGATTTTGAAGGAGATTTTTAAGTGTACATAATGAAGACATGTTTTTGAGCCTTTTTCCGGTCTTTAATTGTAGGAAGGTTTTTAAATAAAATTTGAAATCGGTCCACTTTTTGGAGTTTTTTAGTTTGAGTGCAAATGAGGTTTACTTTAGCGTCACTGTTGTTTTCATTTATGCAAATGATAAGATGGAGGAACAAACTGATACTGTGAGTTTGTACATTTGGCACTACAGCTAGATAGTTAAGACAGGAGAGACTTTCACCAAACTGGGGTTGTTGAGGTTAAATCTCGGTTTCATATTTTTGTCTTGCAAGTGAAAATGTCTTTTAAAGGGGCCATCACATCATTTTTATCTCCATTAATATGTAGATATAGGGTTGTTATTACATCATATTTGCAAAAATAGAAGTGCCATAATCCAAGATAGAAACTTTTGATTTAACTTCAAAGAGACCTTCTCTGAGAGAGAAGCTCATTTACTCCCTGTTATCTGGATTGTAATGACATTCTGTACAAAAAAACAATACAAGTTAGATATTTGCCAGAGTAATTCTTTAAGGCGTATAATAAAACTTCTAAAGTTTGGGCAACTTGACAAATTTGCTTGCTTGCTTTAAGTTTTTTCCATCAGTTTTTTTAAGATGCTGTGCTCATGAGGTCTTGAAGTGTTTGCAATTAAACAGTCATCTCCAAAACAACAGATTGTCTTCTAAACTGAGGGGAAAAGTCAGCCTAATTGAATTATTTATTAATTTCATTATTTAGTAAGGAGCCTGGCTACACAGGCAGAACTAATAAAATAATTAGATTAGTGATCAGTTATTTAGCTTGAATTTACAGATGATAAAATGTGATGTCAAAGGAAGGGTTGTGTTCTGCTCAGGTATTCTGTTGCCCTGTTAAGTGGAGAAGAGATTTTAGACTTTGAAGGTTTGAACATCTATAAGAATTAGGTCATACATTATATAAAATACATTTTGTTTTATTAAAGATGATGCAGTTCCATTTCCTGTTGTATAGTAATTGCATATTGTGTCTGTGTATTTCATTTTAAATTTATTTTTCTTAGGTGCCCCCCAAGAACGTTCCTACCAGCACTATGCAAGATCTTTCTGGATGAAAGTGCTCCAGACAACGTATTGGAAGTGACAGCTCGTGCCATAACATACTACCTGGATGTGTCTGCTGAATGTACTCGGAGGATTGTGGGAGTGGATGGTGCTATAAAAGCACTTTGTAACCGTTTGGTTGTTGTTGAACTCAATAACAGGACCAGCAGGGATCTAGCTGAGCAGTGTGTAAAGGTGATGATCAGGTTTTTCTAGCTAGTACTTGGATCTTCTGTTGTGTGAGACATGCTTCTTGGGCAGTCCTTAGTTTGTACTTAGTACAGATGATAACCTGACAATTCTGCTTTAAATATTTATGAGTAAATATAAAAATTATGGAAGAGCTTCTCTTGATGTTTAGATTATACAGTACATAAACCTGTGAATTTTAGGATTGAGGTTGATCTTCACCAATAATAGCAAAGCTTGGCCAATAATAGTGGATGTTTTTTTTTTTCTTCTAGGTGCTAGAACTGATTTGCACAAGGGAATCAGGTGCTGTGTTTGAAGCTGGTGGACTGAACTGTGTGCTGAGCTTTATTCGGGACAGCGGTCATCTGGTCCATAAGGACACTTTGCACTCTGCAATGGCTGTAGTATCCAGGCTGTGTGGTAAAATGGAGCCTCAGGATTCCTCATTGGAAACCTGTGTTGAGTCTCTCTCCAGCCTGCTCAAACATGAAGATCACCAGGTAAAAACAACATTTGTCCTCATTCTTTATAGTTAGTTGGCTACTTTTATGTGAAGCTTAGAGATGCAGTGTGACAAAATATAGATGTCAGCCTGTTTATTTGCATGGTTTTCCTTTATCATGGTAGTGTAACTTCTTGCTCTAAGCTTGTTAAATCAAGGTCCCAGCTATTCTGTCGAGTTCCCATGACACTATTCATAAGAGTATTGTGTTAACTCTGCTCTTCTTTCTGGATTCCTCTCTTGACTTTCATAACCTGGCCTACCTACAGCTTCATTTTAATTGGTGAAAAGATTTCTAATTTGTCTAGTAGGGCTCTGGTTCGTGATTGAACTCGCTATCTATCGCTATGTGTGGAATGAGCTTTGGGGGTGCTGTTGACAAATATGCAAGCAATCATTTGTTTTTCCACCTCTAGGTGTCTGATGGAGCTCTGCGCTGTTTCGCCTCTCTAGCTGACCGGTTTACCCGGCGTGGTGTAGACCCAGCTCCGCTAGCCAAGCATGGCCTGACAGAGGAGCTTCTGTCCCGCATGGCAGCGGCCGGGGGCACCGTGTCAGGCCCGTCTTCCACCTGCAAGCCAGGCCGCACCTCCACTGGCGCCACAGCCACGGCGGCAGACTCCAAAGTCAGCAACCAGGTGTCCACCATCGTCAGCCTGCTGTCCACGCTGTGCAGGGGTTCCCCTCTAGTGACGCATGTAAGAGCTTTTAAAAACCTCCTGGGGTTGGGGGGTGATGTGTCCTTCCTCTGCTTCCGTTTGTATTAAACTCTGTATAGCATTGGTTTTGTTGCGCCATATTTGGAGTAAATAAAGTTGGTATTAATTTACGTGGCCACCTTGCCAATCAAGACCTTGGGTTTCATTGCCTTTTCTTGGCATATTCTGCACAGGATCTGTTGAGGTCAGAGCTGCCCTACTCTATAGAGAGCGCCCTGCAGGGTGATGAGAGGTGTGTTCTGGACACCATGCGGCTGGTGGATCTCTTACTGGTGCTGCTGTTTGAAGGACGGAAAGCCCTGCCAAAGTCCAGTGCTGGATCCACCGGCAGAATCCCTGGCTTGAGGAGGCTCGACAGCTCTGGAGAGCGCTCTCATCGACAACTGATAGACTGTATTCGCAGTAAAGACACTGATGCTTTAATAGATGCCATTGATACCGGAGGTAAGTCAGCGTGGTACATTCTGCACTGATTGTTTAATGTGCTTGTCCTCCTGCTTTATTTATGGTTTACCGTGTTCACAAAATTCAAGCCAATACAGATTCACCCTTTGAATTTTTTTTCAGCACATACAAATTTGCAGAAGCACTAATAATTTTAGCATTATCTCTACAAGTTAGAAGCAGTGTTAATAATTAGCTTAAATGTTATCTATTGATAATGAGTAACGTTAAACATCATAGCATCAGTAAGCAGATGAAATTTGATTCAGTACCTCATGATACAATTACATTTTTTAAACATCTAAGTACTTTAGGTGATTTTTAAAAATTGTTCTTTTAGCCTTTGAAGTAAATTTCATGGATGATGTAGGACAAACCCTTTTGAATTGGGCCTCTGCGTTTGGTACTCAAGAAATGGTAAGCTGCTATTCTTTGATTTTTGTGTAGAAACTGATATTTACCAAGCTTTTCATGCTCGTTGATGTTTTGAGTAATGCAATTATATTTTGTACAACAGCCTCTTAACCTAATCATAGCTTTAACTTTTTGTGCGCTTGACAAATTTTACAAGTTGTACTGTGGAAAATAGCCAAAGGGAAAAAAATCTTCATTGTTTGACATTAAGACAGCTGGAGGTTATAAGTGCGTTTTACTAAGCTGCTTGTAAGAACTCATTGAAGATGATGCACAGCCTTTCCACCAAGTAAAGGCAATCCTCTGCCGAGTTTGGTTACTATAGAAACTAGCTCAACAAAAGAGGGCTTTTTGCATAATCTCCTCTGAAGCTTCCCGACAATTGAACTCTGAAGTAACTTTTAATTAGTCATGCCATGCTAATGACCACCTTTGTTCTTATGGTTTACTACACTAACTGAAATAAACAAGTGTGTACAATGCTGTTTGCTTGTTTTCCAGGTGGAGTTCTTGTGTGAAAGAGGTGCTGATGTCAATCGCGGTCAGAGGTCGTCTTCGTTGCATTATGCAGCATGCTTTGGAAGACCCCAGGTAGCAAAGGTACAGTGCTAAAGCTCCCCCTGTTGGCATACTTTCTGTTCTACATGTTTTGTTACAATTGCATAAAACCTCAGGAAATTTCTAGTTTCTTCAACTGCTGAGCCAAAGTTGTAGAACTGAGATATTGTGTAAAATTTGTTTATTTTTTTCCCTGCAGACTTTGCTGCGCCATGGAGCCAATCCAGATCTTAGAGATGAAGATGGTAAAACTCCCTTAGATAAAGCGCGAGAGAGAGGGCATAGTGAGGTAGTTGCCATTCTCCAGTCTCCAGGTGAGCACAGCTCTGTTTGCTTGTATTCTAGTTGCACAGCAGAAAGCAAACTTTAATAAAAAACATTGATATATTTCAAAAGCGATCAGGACCCTGTTTTTTCAGTTTCTCATGAAGAAGCTCAAAGGCTTCGAATTTCTGTTTTCCATCATGTCCTGACATCTTATATAAGGCCATTTACACACACTTCTTCATGCCTCTGATAAAGTAAACATTAATGTTGCCTGCTTCCAAGAAACCTCTCTACAGTACTCACTTGCGAAGATTATATGGCACCTGCTTGTGTTAAAAATAAAAATATTTATTGGTTCAGTTTATATTTTACTGAAAGGGAAACTTTTTTTCAAATCGCTTTTTGAAACTAATGCACAAGATCTTTCATTGCGGTCCGTTAACATGTAGGCCATTATCTTCCCCTATCATGAGGAAAAAACATTGTAAGAAATACTTTTTTTTCTACACCTTCACAGTAAGGTGCTGTATGATCCCTTTAATTATATTTAAGTGGTTTTAGGATTTAAGTTTTCCTTTCTTAAGTAGTAAAACATGCTTACGCAAGCAAATTTCCTATTCCTTACTTGAATAAAAGGTGCAAGTTAATGTGATGATAGAAACAGTCCAATCGTTCTGATTCTTGGCGAGCCCATGTTAATTGAGCATGTATTTGTTTTTTACAACATAAATGATGTGCTTTCCAGGTGATTGGATGTGCCCAGTCAATAAAGGTGATGACAAAAAGAAGAAAGATGTGAACAAAGAGGAGGAAGAGGGCAATGAACCAAAAGGTGACCCTGAAATGGCTCCCATATATCTGAAGAGACTGCTTCCAGTATTTGCACAGACCTTCCAAGAAACTATGCTCCCTTCAATAAGGTAAACCAATTTTAAATTCCTTCTGTCACGCCTAGAAATGGGAACTAAAAGAATAGTTTTTTACTTAATGTTTTAGCAGTCTGAGTAAATAAGGGGGAGCAACTGTGGGGATTATGATAATAACAGGCATGTTATTGTCCTCGATTCTACTGTCCATGTTCTGGAGTTGTTGAGTTGTGTAAAGTGAGGATTTAATCTATGTACCTTTTCTGTAGATTCCTCTATTTTGTCGAAAAAGGTAAAAGCATACTTCTTAATCCGTTATCAGACTGGTTGGATTGCAGAGGTTTTTTGCTCCCCCCCTCACAAAACCCATAATATTGGTAAAAAGTCAGGCAATGAAGTAATAGTTCTTAATTGAAAAAATGTTATACATACAAATTCTGAATTTAAATTAGGATTATACCTTTTAAAAATACATGTGACATGAAATTATTTTAAAGAATGTGTGGAAATTGTAGCATATCTAAAGTGGAAATTAACAGCGTTCAGTCTTTACATGTATTTACTTTTTTTTTAAACAGGAAAGCAAGCCTTGCCCTTATCAGGAAAATGATCCACTACTGCTCAGAAGCCCTTCTGAAAGAAGTGTGTGATTCTGATGCCGGACATAATCTGCCTACAGTATTAGTCGAGATCACAGCAACTGTTCTTGACCAGGAGGTGAACGGACATTTATTATCTTTACTACATAATCATGCTGCTCTGAAGATTTACTGTGTCCTTCCCAGAAACTTTATACTTTTATGAAGGTTAAGGAGTATTTTTGTTTTGCCGAAATTAAGCCTTATGCCTTGGTATGCATAGAGGTCCATTAAATAAATTTGTAAGAACTGTTTTTCTGATCAAAGTGCATTTTGGTTGGCTAAATGTGAAATACTTTCCCCTTAGGATGACGATGATGGACACTTACTGGCTTTACAGATCATAAGAGATCTGGTTGATAAAGGTGGAGATGTTTTCTTAGACCAGTTGGCCCGCCTTGGCGTTATTAACAAGGTGTCGACCCTGGCCGGACCGACATCAGACGATGAGAATGAAGAAGAGTCAAAGCCGGAGAAGGTAAAAGTCCCTTTTGAAATAGGATTTATGCCTAAAGTGAAATTAAGAAAAATCTGTCAGGATTATAAACGAGTTTTACTAAACACAGCTGTTAAACACTTGTCGGGTAGCAGACGTATCTCAGCAGTAAGTTAGAGGGTTTGCTTCACCAACGTTTCTCCCAATCCTGAAACAAAATCCACCAAAATGATCGAGAATCATTGATTTTTTTAACATGTCCTTCTGGGCCTCAGAAACCATGTTCTTGATTTAATTTTTTTAAACTTTTCAATCAGTGGTCAAAAACCATGACGTTTTCTCTTTTGAAAGCAAAGCCGAGAAGCTTTAGCTTTAATGAAAACCAGGGGACCGTGTGACGATGAAAGCCCCGTTGTAGAAGATGAGTGGAGGTTGTCTGTTTCGTGGGCAAAACTAGACATGTTGGCTTACATTATGGTGTGCAAGCTCGAAAGTGGTGATGTTCCCACAGGAGGATGAGCCCCAGGAAGATGCCAAAGAAATCCAGCAGGGGAAGCCATACCATTGGAGGGACTGGTCTATCATTCGAGGGCGAGACTGTTTGTATATCTGGAGTGACGCGGCTGCCCTGGAGCTGTCGAACGGCAGCAACGGCTGGTTTAGGTTTATTCTCGATGGTAAGCTAGCCACCATGTACTCGAGCGGGAGCCCTGAAGGTGGATCTGATAGTTCAGGTACAGTTCTTTCCTTACTTTTTAAATTACCTTGTTTACTAAGCAAAGATAAGTTCTGAAAAGATTACCTTTACCTTCATTTATGATTGTAGTTGGACTAGTAAACAATAGCTGTCTTTTTCAAAAGAAAGTGGAGTTAATATACCTTAGAACCGGGGTATAAAATGACTTAATTGGGGGAATATGATTCTGTTTACAAAAAAAGACAACGCAACGATTGGAAACATGGAGTCTACAGTTCTCTCTATCAACTTTGTTGTGTAGCCACGTTTTGTGTAAGCATGATGTGTTAATATGGTTGGATACTCAAATGACTGGATGCAGAGCAACCCGCCTCATTCCGCTTGAAATGGTTTTGTCTTGAACAGAGAGCAGAAGCGAGTTTCTTGAGAAGCTGCAGAGAGCACGGAGTCAAGTGAAACCTGCAACCGCGAGCCAGCCTATTCTTTCAGCTCTGGGGCCGACCAAACTCACTGTGGGCAACTGGTCTCTTACCTGCCTGAAGGAAGGGGAAATCGCAATCCACAACTCTGATGGCCAGCAGGCTACCATACTCAAAGAGGACCTGCCAGGCTTTGTCTTCGAGTCCAACAGAGGGACCAAGCATTCTTTCACTGCAGAAACATCCCTGGGTAAGTTTGTAGGTAAGTGTGTGGAGAGAAGAACGACAGGTAAGGTTTGGAGTTAGCGCTGCGAATATCATGTAAACTTTTTTTTTTTCTTCAAGCCGTGAAATATCCGGTGTTCTGATTTTGGTTTCTCTGTTCTGGCAATTCAAGGTTCGGAATTCGTTACCGGTTGGACTGGAAAAAGAGGAAGGAAACTTAAATCCAAATTAGAGAAAACTAAACAGAAGGTAATTTTGTCAACTGAAGAGGACTCATTTGTTATATGCTTTTTACTAAAACTAAAATCTAGACCCAACGCTTTATGTAGAAGTGTAATTTGGTTATGCTTATTCTTTAATGTCATTGTTAATGCTTCCCACAGATGTGTATTTTGTAGCTCAGCAAAAAAGAACATTGTTTTCTTGGTTATAATGAACAAAACGAATGGTTTTTACATTTCACCCATGGAAGAGATTTAAGCTAATGTTTCCTATAGATATAGGTAATGTAGTGTTGCTTTCATTACATAGTGTTACTGTAACTAATGCAGGATATCCAGAATTCTAGGAATTGTGGCAAAGCATAACATCGACAACAGTATTGTTCTGAAAAAGTATTCTTCTTCCCAAGGTGAAAACCATGGCGAGGGATTTATATGATGATCATTTTAAAGCTGTCGAGAGTATGCCAAGAGGAGTTGTTGTCACATTGAGGAACATTGCTACCCAGCTGGAATCTGCATGGGAACTCCATACAAATAGACAGGTAAGTAAAAAAATTGTAATTTAAATGTGTGAAATAGATATATTGGATAGATTTTTTGGTTAAGGAGTATTTATGTAGTATATTGAGACATTGCAACAGTATAAATTATTGTGAACATAATTTATTAACATCACAAAAAATATAATTACAGTCCTTGAAGAATGTTAATAAGCAAAATCTTTTTTCCTAGTGTATTGAGGGAGAGAACATGTGGCGAGATCTAATGAAGACTGCTTTGGAAAACTTAATTGTGGTTTTGAAGGATGAAAACACCATCTCTCCCTATGAAATGTGTAGCAGTGGCCTTGTGCAAGCACTTTTTACAGTACTAAACAATGTGAGTATTAAATAACATTTGTTCGTTTGTACTACTTTATGTATTTGCCGCCTTTAACTTTTCTCTCTTCTCTCAATAGAGTGTGGATCTCGAGGTGAAACATGATTGTAGGCCATTAATGGAAAGAATCAATGTTTTCAAAACTGCATTTAGTGAAAATGAAGATGATGAAAGGTAGTTTTAATCCATTTTATAAAGCAACATTTATAAGTTTTGCGTTGATTTTCAAGCAGCGTCTCATATACTGTTTTGTTTTTTCTTCAGTCGACCCGCAGTTGCCTTAATTAGAAAGCTTATTGCAGTTTTGGAATCAATTGAAAGGCTTCCTCTTCACTTGTATGATACACCAGGATCTACATATAATCTACAGGTAAAATATACAGGACATTACAAAACCTTAAGCATCGATGTTTGTATTATGACTTGAATATCATCAGGGAAGTCAGTTTATTTCTAAAGATAAAGAGGGCACTAGGTTTAATCATTTTCCCGGCAATGACTGAACCTTTAGATCATTTGTGCATGAAAAGTTTTTGAATTGTCAGACATCAAAACAGATCTTAGGTGCAAGAGAAACTGCAGTTCAGATTTGCTGCTGCATTACTGTTAATCTAATTGCACCCTTGACTAGGGTATGAAATCTGTTATTAAAGCACCACATCTTTACTTGCAGAAAAAGTGTAGCTACATATGTCTAAAACTAACACCTGATAGTCATCAGGCTGTATGAAAATATATTTTTGCTTTTTGGTTTTGCTCTTTAAAGTATAAGTATTTATTAATGCTTAACATTGTGGATAAATAGAATAATAATGCTAGGCAGTGCAATTATAGACTTTTCTGCATGAACTGTCTGAATGTTGTTCTAGATTCTAACTAGAAGACTGAGATTTCGCCTGGAGCGTGCCCCTGGTGAGACAGCTTTGATTGACAGGACAGGAAGAATGCTTAAAATGGAGCCTCTGGCTACCGTGGAGTCCTTAGAACAGTACCTCCTCAAAATGGTATTTTTTCTTGTATTGATGAATTTATTAACCATAAGTTCATTCATGGTTTCATTCCGGAGCTAAACGAATGGTGTTTTTTTTTCCTCAGGTGGCAAAGCAGTGGTATGACTTTGACAGGTCCTCCTTCGTGTTTGTCAGAAAGCTGCGCGAGGGACAGATGTTTACATTCAGGCACCAGCATGACTTTGATGAGAATGGAATCGTGTACTGGATTGGGACCAATGCAAAGTAAGATGATTGTTAAAAATGTTTTAATGGAACTAGACAGATTAAATATTTCAAGTGTTAGGTTTTACGATGCAACATGAACAGTACTAAAGTACGGGAGCTGATGCTAAATGACCTAATGAAATATTTATGAACAATGTTTGAGCGCCTACCTCATCCGGTTGGCAGAATGACTAGTCTGAAAGATGTTTTATTACTCAGAAGTGGGTGGCTAGATGCAGAACTGAATGCATTGTTAAAATGGTCTTAAATAACAATGTTTCTGTTATTTGTGAGAAAAGAAGGGATGTAGTGGCTGCTACACTTTTTTTAGGTAGCAAAGGCCAAATGCTTTTGATGGCTAGTTCAGAAAAATTCCCCCCCAGTGTGGGCGGTATACTGACGATTGACCACCCACCTTGAACAGCGTCACTCTCTTCAAAAAGAACATGTTGTCATTTTAAATCATACAATGTACAAGCTTTTGTGTATTCGTTCCCTATAAATGAATTCTTAAATGTTTCCTACTGTTTCCCTCAATCCTTTCAAGTTTGTTGTAGTTTTGTTATATTTTTATTGATTTAATAGTAACACCACATTTTGATTGCCCAGCGTCAGATTCTCACTGCGAGTCTGCTACTGTTTCAGAACTGCATATGAATGGGTCAATCCTGCTGCTTATGGACTTGTGGTGGTGACTTCATCAGAAGGGAGAAATCTACCTTATGGGCGTTTGGAGGACATTTTAAGCAGAGACAGCTCAGCCCTTAACTGCCACACCAATGATGATAAGAACGCTTGGTTTGCACTAGACCTTGGGCTGTGGGTGATTCCCTCTGCATACACTTTACGACACGCTCGTGGCTATGGGCGCTCCGCTCTGAGGAACTGGGTGTTTCAGGTGTCTAAGGATGGACAGAACTGGACGACCTTGTACACCCATGTGGATGACTGTAGTCTCAATGAGCCAGGGTATGTTCTCAAATCTAAAATATGCAACAGTAATTGCTTAGATCTCTCTCTTTAATAGTGGTGCTCGGGGTTACCAGTTATAAATCTCGTCTGTAGTTGAGCCATTCTCTCCATATAAGAGGTTTGAAAAGAGCATGGTGGGGTTTTGATGTTTTTCTTGAATTCCTTGCTAACCTTTGGCAACAACAGATGTAAAATGAATTAGATTTGGGTAACTGAATTTTCTGATTGTTTTTCCAGAAATTTGAGCGTTTTTCAGTTGAATGTCAAAATAGAGGGTAAAGAGAATTCGATTTTAAAAACAAAGAAATGTCTGTGTTGGTTAGTGAAATTCAGAGAAAATATGCCTTTATTGAACAGATTTAAGCATGATGTTTCCTTGAGGTTTTTTTAAGTGTACTAGGCTGCAACGTAGCTTAGCTGGAATGTTCTATCAACAGCATTCCTCATTCCCAGATACTCATACAAACATCTAAAGATTGGCATGTTCTCTTTAGTTATATACTTGTTATATTGCAAAATAAAGATTTTTCAAATCCTTATGCTTGCAGCTATCTTCCTAGCTTGCCCCCTTTGTAAGAGGTGGATTGAAGATCATTGGAGCATTCATTCATTTGTGGTGTCTAGTTTCTCATTATAAATAGTCTTGAATGACATTGCTTGACCAACAGTGTATTTAGCTGTACAGAATTGATCTTAAGAAATACATGCGCCTGACAAACTATTTTACAGGGAGCGCTTGAAAGAATCTATGAATTGTTCATTAAGTGAACAAATAATGATCTCAGCCTTTTAAGCTAATGAACCCATTCCATCAAGTACAGTTAAGTCTCTTTGTCTTACCATTTGGTTCTGTAGATGCATCTTCTGAAAGTGTTCTGCCTATTTCATGTGGTTGTACAGGCTTTTGAAAGCAATATTATGTACAGAAAATTTACAGTGAGTAAATTTTAGGAAGTTGTTACAAGGCAAAATGTTTTGAGAGCAGGTGGTGGGTGAAGGAGAGGAGTAGTGTGTTATACATGAGTCTGGTACTTCATTTCTGCTGCAGGCACAGATGACTGTCTGTGCCTCCACGTACCACCAACGTTTGTGGTTCATGTCCTTTGCCAACATGATGCAGAGGGTTTGAGAGAGTTTTGTGATTTGAGGTACTTTTTTTAGGCACCAATTTAAAAACTGTTCAGAAAAAAATGCCCCTACCTATAAATGCTCATTTTCTGTGTGTAATCTTTATTTTGCTTGGTACGTCACTAAATGGTAACCTGGATATAAACATTTTTTATTTTAATTAGAAACAAATGTGTACATCAAGCCTTAATGTTCGTGCTCAATTGCTGCAGCATGGTAAATACCGAACGATTGTTCGCAGTTCGTGCTGAGTGTAATTTAATTATCCCGGAACAGGTCGTCAATATAATTGCGGCATTTATTGTTCTACCGGGTGAAGCGGGCAAAATTCATTGACAAAACGTGAGACAAGTCTTTTTTTTGCTTTTACCTGCCATTGATGAATAAATGAATGCCATGTGCGTCTTTGACTTCAAAGGTCTACAGCTACATGGCCCTTGGACCCTTCTAAGGATGAGAAGCAGGGCTGGAGACACATAAGAATAAAGCAAATGGGAAAGAATGCTAGTGGTCAGACTCACTACCTCTCTTTGTCGGGGCTGGAGCTTTACGGAACTGTCAGCGGAGTGTGTGAAGACCAGTTAGGTGAGTGTAACTGGGAATGCTCTAAATTGTCAGAATGAAAGCCACCCTCGATTGTCTTAGTCTGATAATGATGTGCTTTATCCACTAACTTAAATGTCACAGGCAAGGCTGTGAAGGAAGCCGAAGCCAATCTGAGGAGACAGAGGCGTCTGTTTCGCTCCCAGGTCATGAAGTACATTGTTCCGGGAGCTCGTGTAGTCCGGGGTATTGACTGGAAGTGGAGGGACCAGGATGGGAACCCACCAGGAGAGGGCACGGTGACGGGGGAGGCGCACAACGGTGAGGACAGGCGATAGGAATGCGCCGTGGGTGTGTTTTGGATGGTGGTGATTTTTGTTTCTAACACTTAAGTTTGTTTTTTTTAAGAAGCGATCTAGAAAGCATCTTTGGACCAAGGGATGGTATTGTTTACGATTTAGCAACTGGGTATCAGACTGTCCTAAATGTTACTGGGATATCTCAAAGGTTCAAGGCAATGGTATTCATGCCTAGTCCTCCATGGCCTCAGTCTTCCAGGTTTTAATGATAATGAGTAGAAATCTAAAACTGGTAGTAATATAGACAAAATAAATGACTGATTTTAGATAGTCATTTTAGAGTCCATAGTGGAATAATTCTTCTGTGATAGAAGATATGACTGCTCTTCAGTATCAAGAGTGAATATCAGAGCTTTAGGGTATCAAACAGATTTAAATTTAGTTTTCATTTGTTTTATACCAGTCTGACATGCCATAACTGGGTTTCATCAGTGAATTACAGTAGTGTGGAATACCTTTAGAGTGTATAAACCACTACCTGCAATGGCCCTGTGATCACTGTGGTATATAGATGCTGGATATAATCCAGAGAGGCCTTATTGCTGTAAAATTATCCAGTAAAATCTGGATAATTAGACCAATAGGATTGGACCTAAATGAATAACATTTTAATAAAGAGCTTTTTTTTATCAATTTACCTTCAATGTATTTAAAGTAAAGCAAGTAACTCCAATAATGCACAGAATGTAATGAACAGTGCATCTACGTGTCACATTGTACCTTTACAAAAACAATTTGTAGAGGAATAATGGGCAGAAATGTATTTTTCCTCTGAATCTCATTAAAACCAAGAAAAACGGCAGTCTCTGAAAGCTTTGCATCTCTTAAAACCTGGCACCTAGAGTAGATTCATTCTGTATTTAGGTGCATAAATTAATGACCCTGTTTAGTACTGTATTCTTGGACATGTGTATTTCTACTCAGTGATTATAGGATTTTGAATCCCTCCATGGTTTAAAGAGCAGTTCAGTCCCTTCTCCATGACAGGGATGCTCAGCTCCAGTCCTGGAAAGCTGCTGTCTGTTTAGGTTTTCATTCCAGCTCAGCACTTAATGAGCCAGCTGAAGTAATTATTGCCCTGACTGGAATTCACCAGCTTTTCCCAGCTTTTAGGTACTGCTGATTTTTAAGGAGACCCACAAAACCTGTTAGACTGTGGCCCTCCAGGACTGGAGTGGGGCAGCTCTGGTCTACAGTGTGCATGTAACTGCAAATGTTATGTGATCAAGGATTTTTTCTTTTTTCCCCACAAGCTTTGTACATAAGGCAAAGCTTATTTTCCTGTTGCTATTCAAGCATGATAAATTAATTGAATCCTTTAAATTCCCTTTCAAGGACCAGAATTCATCATCTTACACGCAATTTCATTTAATATTTTCTCTTTTGTCTTTTTATGCTACCTCCACAATTCCTTTTTGTTCTTAACTGAACTTTGAGCACATTTTTGAGTTTTTTAAAGGTCTTTTTTCCCCTACACTTAACAGGTAACCTTTTCATACTAAGCATTTTCTTCATTGCAGTTGGATCTTTGGGCAGTCACATTTTCATGTTTAAGATTTTTAATGACTTATTTCCATTAATCAGCTAAGTGCATGTTGATGTCACAATTTTGCAAGCAACAAATGGACTTGATTGCAATTTTGTTTACTTTGATGGAAATACTTCAGTTCCATTTCTTTCTGAGTGGCTTTTAGCTTGGCGTTTGCAATATTCTACTTGGCTTTTTGTCATTTTCTGTAACTCATGTTTCTATTTCATTGCTTCACCTGGACCAGACTATGCTGTGTATCAGTCTGTTGATTGAGGCACTTAATGATATTGATCATTTTATTTTAATGGCTCCATTTCCAAATTGCAGTTTTTTACTCCTTCAGAAATGTTTTAAGGAGTATAGGTGGTTGAAAATTGAATTTTCCATATCAAGGAAAAATACAGTGCTGATTTCATGTCTAAATCCCAATCTTTTCAATGTTATTCAAGGTGTTAAGCCTGGGGCTTATATGAAAACAGCATTGCTACTCTTATAGTCTGTAAGTTTTATTAAAACACACAGGTATTAGGGAAGTGAAAGGAATTATTCTGAGGAGCATTCCCCTTATTCTAGAGGAGTGATGTGATTAGAAGTATAATGTTTGGTCCAGTGTTAAGCTGAGCTGCTGTCTGACTTGCTGCTGTCTGCTCTCTGCTGGGTCTCACAAACTCATGTCCCTTTCCAGGCTGGATTGATGTCACCTGGGATGCTGGTGGCTCAAACTCTTACCGTATGGGTGCAGAAGGAAAATTTGACCTCAAGCTTGCGCCAGGGTACGACCCTGAGTCAGCGCCGTCACCCAAACCTGTTTCATCCACTGTTTCAGGCCCAGCGCAGTCCTGGAGCAGCCTGGTGAAAAATAACTGTCCGGACAAGTCGGCCACGGCTGGGGCCAGCTCCTCTAGCAGGAAAGGAAGCAGCAGCTCTGTGTGTAGTGTGGCCAGCAGCAGTGATATCAGTCTGAGCTCAGCCAAGCTGGAACGGCGGTCTGAAAGTGTACTGGAGCATGGTACGGCCCCTAGCGCAGAAAGCCACGAGCCGATTGTGGTCCTGTCCGCGGCGGACAGCAGCCCCCATGCTGAAGGGGGGTCTGCGTCCAGCGCAAGCACCAGCACTTTGACGGCAGACACGGGGGGTGAAAACGCAGACCGTAAACTGGGCGCCGATGCCGCGGTTCGACCCACTGGAGAATCGGGAGCCATCTCTATGGGGATTGTCAGCATCAGCTCCCCAGATGTCAGTTCCGTTTCCGAGTCCTCCAGCAAGGAAGCTACGTCTCAGCGCCCGCTTTGCTCTGCGGCCAACACCAGACTGTCAGTCAGCTCACTGCTTGCTGCCGGGGCGCCAATGAGCTCTAGTGCAAGTGTACCAAACCTTTCTTCTCGGGAAGCCAGCCTGATGGAATCATTTGTCAGAAGAGCACCCAATATGTCCCGCACCAATGCCACTAATAACATGAACCTGAGCCGCAGTAGCAGCGACAACAACACTAATACTCTGGGAAGGAATGTCATGAGCACTGCCAGTGAGTACTGTTCAGCTGTGGTCTTATTGTCATCTTATTTTAAGTGTATGCGTAACCCTTTTAGAAAACAACCTTTCCCGCTGGCAGTCATTTGTGGCACTGTGCCTTCACTTTAAAGCTGCCTTTCAATGTTAACACTAACCTGAGAGTAATGTTTAAGAAGTAACGCTGAATAACCACTATTGCCACTTAAGAATAATTACTGGTTTTGAACTTTGAATTGTAACCCTTGGCTGAATATTTTTTCTGATGTTTGGGAGTAGCTTTTAAAAATGCTGTTTGTAATGCAACTGTGCTTTCCTGCCTAATTAATCTAGTACTTTAACTGAACTTCAATTTTCCCTAGTGAAAAAACCTTTCTAAGTTGTTTACCATGCTTCACTGTTACCAAGTAAGATTGAAGATTCTACAGCAGGGTAGGCTATGAGGGATATTAAATCATACTCCTGTTTTCACAAATAAGTTGTTTTCTAATTAACAGTAAATACATTTTTAGATAAAGAATAAAATGAAATGCCCAGAGGCATCAAAAAGTGTCAAATGAGGCAAGTTTTGTTTTCCGTGGCTGAGAAGATTTGCCTTTTGCCTAGTTTCAGCCTGAATTGCAGATTGTCGCGTTATGGCAGAACGTGCATATTTAGCACATTTTTAATACCTGCTTTTTTTTTTATAACTAACAGCTTTTTCGGTTTTGTTTGCAGCTTCTCCTCTCATGGGTGCGCAGAGTTTTCCTAACCTCACTACCACTGGTACCACCTCAACTGTTACAATGTCAACTTCCATAGTAACCAGCAGCAATAATGTAGCCACGGCAACCACAGGTTTGTCCGTCGGCCAGTCGCTCAGTAACACTCTGACGACCAGCCTGACCTCGACTTCTAGTGAGAGCGACACAGGTCAGGAAGCTGAGTTTTCTTTATATGGTAGGCTATATCTAGGATTAAAACATTAATTCCTGTTTTTTTCCACACTATTACATTCTCCTTGCCTGATTTTCTTTCCTTATTTTTGTAATTGTCGATTTTGTTGGTGTCCTGTCCTTGTCCATTCATTCACCCATGCCTGTCTTGTCAGTAATTCTTATTAACTGTGTGTTTTGAATCTTCCAAGTTGTAAGTAAAGCTGCCTTGGCCTCTGCAGATTTCCTGGACAGCTGCCGTGCAAACACTTTACTGGCAGAGTTGGATGATGAGGAGGACTTGCCTGAGCCAGATGAGGATGACGATGAGAATGAAGATGACAATCAGGAAGACCAGGAGTATGAGGAAGTTCTGGTACGGTCCAGGGTAAACCTTGGTTTTCACATTCTTATGAATAGCGTAAAACATGTCATTTTTGTGGTGGTTGAATTTGGGCATTTCTTAAATGCATGTATGTAAAACGTATTTTGTTCTTCCCTTATTTTTCAGTGCACGGTGTTGCTTGACTGTAAAAGTGAAGAACTTAACAGTGACTTTCCTTTATAACTGTAATGAAGTATTTTTTATTGTACATTTATTTTAAAAATGGAACACTGACAACAAAAAATGTAACAGGATTTTGAGTGAATTGTTCTGAAAGTTGAAGAAATCTTTTTTTTTTAATTTAGAAATGGTTATTTTCTGAATTTAGTTGCAGCCATGACTATAAAGGTATTGCTCCAACATTGTGTTTCTAAGGAGGAAGAGGAATATGAAACCAAAGGGGGTCGCCGCAGGACCTGGGATGATGACTTTGTGTTGAAGCGTCAGTTTTCTGCATTGGTTCCGGCTTTTGATCCAAGACCAGGTCGGACAAACGTGCAGCAAACGACAGATCTGGAAATACCACCTCCAGGTGTGTTCGATCTCCGCCTAACAAACAGCCACACATAATGAGAGAATGGTAAAAAATATTCAAACTGAGAAATTCAGGCTTTCTTGAAACTGGATCTAATCAATGTACATACATGTAAAGAAGTACAGAATAAGCATGTAATGCGCAGATATCCGATTTCTAAAAATTAACGTGTAGCATATGAATTTGAAGATGCTTGGTACCTAGATCAGCTTATCATAATCTTTCACGGGCGTGTTTCAGAAGTTGATTTTGTCTTTTGTTGGTGCGCTTGGTCTTAACAGTTGAATTATAACTTACAGGAACTCCTCGGTCAGAGATCTTGGAGGAAGTAGAATGTGCACCGTCCCCACACTTAGCACTTATCTTGAAGGTAGCCGGTCTTGGAACCACAAGAGAAGTTGAACTACCTCTCTCAAACTACAAGTCTACTATATTCTACTATGTACAGAAGCTCCTGCAGCTTTCCTGTAACGGCAGTGTGAAATCGGATAAGCTTAGGCGTATTTGGGAGCCTACGTACACGTAAGTTTTCTTTTCCAGTTTCTCGTTTTTCTGCTGGGGATGTCGTGAAACACACGTGGGGCCCACTGTGAGCTACACGCACTAAAATCATTTTCATTGTTGTTTCAAGAACGCGAGTTTAAATTTTAACATTGTGTTTGTAGGATAATGTACAGAGAAATGAAGGATTCCGACAAAGGAAAAGAAAGTGGAAAGATGGTAATTATCATTTAGTTCTTGCTTTCCAATACATTTACTCTTGGCTGTGTATTTCTGTGGCTGTTAAATGTTAATGCTCCTTTTTACATAGACAGAAACCTCACTAACCTTTAATAAGGATGTCGTTGAAGTTTATACTGATAATTGATAATTGCATGGCCCTATAGTGGTAATTTTGATGTAATGCATGTGTACTCCGTGAGACTTTACAATCAGGAAAGACCAACATTTGGTTCTTCCTGTTGTAGGGTTGCTGGTCTGTAGAGCATGTGGAACAGTACCTTGGCACTGATGAATTACCAAAGAATGACTTGATAACCTACCTGCAGAAGAATGCAGACTCAACTTTCCTTCGCCGCTGGAAATTAACCGGCACTAATAAAAGTATTAGGAAAAACAGAAATTGTTCTCAGCTCATAGCTGCATACAAGGTATATGATGGCATCTGGATATTTTTTTCACACTTTTCTTGCTTGAATGTAGCCATGTGCTTGTTTTAGCCACTTGCAGGCAATGCTCCTGTCTATGTTAGCTTTGATGTTGTAAAGCTGGTTATGAGAGGCTTTCACGTTTAGCATTTATTAAAAACCTGAGGGGATGTGTGTCTAAAATTCTAATGGCTAAATATTTTATTAATGGAAAACATGACTACCACTAGAGGGGGTTGATTACAATGTTAAGGATTGTTTGCAGTATTTTTTAACCGAAGTAGTAAAGAAATAAAATGCTAAATTTAATAAACGTCCAACCAAACGTTCATCCGAGGTTTTCAAAACAAATCTGTAATTGTTAGTACTAAGTAAGCTGTGTTGAGGTGGTCATGTTTTAAAAACTGATCTGAATGTTTTAAAACTTCTTGCTGTCCTTTTCTTGCAGGATTTCTCTGAGCATGGTTCCAAGTCGTCTGCACTGAGCCAAGGGTCTCTGTCATCCCTGCAGACCTGCGATATTCTGAGCTCTGCCCGTGAGCAGGCTCAGGCCAAAGCAGGAAGCGGACAGACTGCCTGTGGTGTGGAGGATGTGCTGCAGTTGCTCCGGATTCTCTATATTATTGCAGGGGATCCTTACTCGACCAGGACACTTCAAGAAGGTAGAGCAAGAAACATGGTTCAAATGAGTTGTATGTTATTTAACGGTCTTTGTATTGGAGCATACGTGCAAGTAAGAATTTCATTGCACTTGTGCATATGACCTACTAAACTGAATAAACATTAAAATGGGATTTTGATTTTAGTTAAAGGGAGAAACACCCTTATGTTTGAGCTTAATTCACAGGATTGTTGTTGACTGTTTTTGTCCAATTAGGTATTTATGAATGTGCAGATGTTTGATGACATCAATAATTTTCTCAATTTTAGACTTCATGAATGTGCTTGTTTTTATTTGTCATGTTCTAACCATTGTTTGCTACACTCTTACATGTAATTTCTTATGCTGTAGTGACCATATTTTCTGTTTACCAGAACCTGACGAACAACTTCAGTTTAATGTCTCGCCTGAAGAGTTCACAAGTAAAAAAGTCACAACCAAAATTCTGCAACAGATAGAGGTATTATACTGTGCATTTCTTAATTCAGATTGTTGTGCTGTTTTTAACACCTTTTTTCTTAAAAACCCTACAAACGTTTTGAGAAGAGCGGTGTATTCAAACAAATGAACCACTGACGAACACTGGGAATAGAAATAACAATACCCATGGTTTGTGAAAAGGCATGACCACTTTTTTAATGAAGAATGTTGTACACTTTATTATGTTTGTCTTAGCCTGATTTATTATTTGTATGCAGCAATTTATTGAAAGTTTTCAGAGTCTAGTTATTCTGTGATATCTCAGCATATTGTACAATGCATTTTTCCTAACTGTATGTGCTTAAATTTAGGAGCCCTTGGCGTTGGCTAGCGGTGCATTGCCTGACTGGTGTGAACAGTTAACCAGCAAGTGCCCATTCTTAATACCCTTTGAAACAAGACAACTGTATTTCACTTGCACAGCTTTTGGAGCCTCACGGTAAGGATAATATTAATAAAAATCAATTTTGGTAACATTGTTTAAAAGATTTGCATTTCTGTAGTGTGTGAATAAATTTAATAAAGTGCCGGGGAGTTATGTTGTGGCTTGTTAAATGTAGATTTATTGCAGGAGTACTTGAAAAGTCACTCGTACGATGAGAAGCTCTTGAATGGCATTAACTTCTCAACTATCATATGCATGCAGAGTGATTTTGGCCTTTTCTTGTTGTTGGGTTGGGGGGGGGGACCTGCATCTTTTGTGCCACGTGCTATTGAGGTCTTATCATAAATCTGAATTCATTCCCATTGGCCACATGTCTTTGTGCAGGGCGATAGTGTGGCTCCAGAACAGGCGCGAGGCTACAATGGAGCGCTCCAGGCCCTCCACCGCGGTGAGGAGAGACGACCCTGGGGAATTCAGAGTGGGCCGGCTGAAGCACGAGAGGGTGAAGGTCCCCCGGGGAGACAGCATGATGGAGTGGGCAGAAAATGTCATGCAAATTCATGCTGACAGGAAGTCTGTTTTAGAGGTAAATAAGCTACTGAGTTGAGCCGATCTTGATTTAAAGGGCTAGACATCCTTTTAAAAAGGTAGTAGTCAAGGTGGGTAGCTGCATCAGCATGCGTAGGCTGCAAAGGAACAAGTAATAGGTTTATTCCATGCTGAAAAAAGGAGAAAGAGAACACAACGTTTCGGCCGTGGAGCCTTCTTCAGGTGTGTGTCTTCAGACACACCTGAAGAAGGCTCCACGGCCGAAACGTTGTGCTCTCTTTCTTCCTTTTTTCAGCATGGAATAAACCTATTACTTGTTCCTTTGCATCCTTTTAAAAGGTCACACGTTGCATCACGAGAGGAAGGGTGATTTTTATTTTCCATGCCGTAGTTTTATTCAGATTTCATCGTTGTTTTACTGAAACCTTTGTGATTCTTGTTTTTTTTCTGGCACTCTGTTATGTGGGTAAAGAGGACTTGAGAATTAATGTTTAATGAGAAATCTGTTTTTTCTCAAATAATTCCTCCCCAGGTGGAATTTCTGGGTGAAGAAGGAACAGGATTGGGACCTACGTTAGAGTTTTATGCTCTGGTAGCAGCAGAGTTTCAGAGGAAATCTCTGGGAGTCTGGCTTTGTGATGACGATTTCCCAGACGACGAATCTCGCCAGGTAAGTTATCCCAAGAAAAAATTGTGTACTGGTTTTGTTGTCTTGTGGTTGAGGGATGCTGAGAATGTTTCCATTGATTTTTTTTTTTTATTTAACCATTTTCTTTGTAAATCTTCAATATAATCTTGGTTTTGTAATTATTTTCTTTAATTAAACTTACCCTTATTGATATTTCAGGTTGATCTTGGAGGTGGACTTAAACCCCCCGGATATTATGTCCAGAGATCCTGTGGACTTTTCCCTGCCCCTTTCCCCCAGGATAGTGACGAACTGGACAGAATTAGCAAACTCTTCCTCTTCTTGGGTGTATTTTTGGCCAAGTGCATCCAGGATAACCGATTGGTGGACTTGCCAATTTCCAAGCCTTTCTTCAAGTTAATGTGCATGGGAGACATTAAAAGCAATATGAGCAAACTGCTGTATGAGTCCCGGGGTGATGCGGACTTGCACTTTTCTGAAATCCAGTCCGAAGCATCTACAGAGGAAGGTCATGACACCTATTCCGTAGGAAGCTTTGATGAAGACTCCAAATCGGAGTTTATTCTTGACCCGCCAAAACCCAAACCACCTGCTTGGTACCATGGCATTCTGACCTGGGAGGACTTTGAGCTGGTGAACCCCCACAGGGCTAAATTCCTGAAGGAAGTAAAAGAACTTGCTGTAATGCGCCGCCAGATACTGACTAACAAGAGCCTCACTGAGGATGAGAAGAACACCAGGCTGCAGGACCTCATGCTGAAGAACCCGTCCGGCTCGGGGCCAGCTCTGAGCATTGAAGATCTGGGGTGAGACGGGCTTGTCTGTGTAATGCCAAATGAAATGTGGAAGAATAGCCCTAGTCTATGTATTTCATTTATCAGCTAAAAGATTATTTTTTAAAAGCAGCCTCGTGAACCATGCAGCCTTTCCACATTCCAGAGTGTTGTGTAGCACATTTCAGATGTGTTTGGGAAATGATTGTGTATCAAGATTTTTGTTAACTTGGATGGTAAAATTAAAGTGCATTATCTCCATCTTATTAGCCTCTTATTAGTTTATTAGTTGTTCTTATTTAAGAAAGGATCGCAAGGGGTAGTGGTATGAGCTACTTCTTTGAAAAAGTCAAACATGGCTTCTTTTCTCACTCAGATTGAACTTCCAGTTTTGCCCTTCATCTAAAGTGCATGGATTCACAGCTGTGGATCTGAAACCCAACGGAGAAGATGAGGTACATATATTCAGTAAAATACTTAAAAATGAGGTTGAAAGCATATGGCTTCTTAGAGTAACTTGCTTTGTTTTTCCTTTAGATGGTGACAATTGACAATGCAGAAGAATATGTAGAACTAATGTTTGACTTCTGTATGCATACCGGAATTCAGAAACAAATGGAGTCTTTTAGAGGTATCCTTGTCTTTAATATTTCTATTATTGAGTGCTTCCTGTTTTCTTCCAGTCTGTCCCAATCAGTTTAATAAAGCAAAAACAAAGGTTATTTTAACATTTCCTTTTTAATCATTAACTGTACAGATCAAGGTACAGGTCATTACATTGTTTTAGAATTATCCGAAGAGTAATTATGGATGGTGTAATGTTTTTTTAAAGAAGTGAGTCAGTTTTTTCCGTAAGATTATAAGAGATAACATCATGCAATTAAACTGTTTAGATCAAGGCCCATTTAAAAAAATAGGATTCTTACTGAGTTTTGTTATAGAACGTTTTTCTTGTTTCTCCAAGATGGCTTCAACAGAGTTTTCCCCATGGAGAAGCTGAGCTCCTTCAGCCATGAAGAGGTGCAGATGATTCTGTGTGGGAACCAGTCCCCTTCATGGACAGCTGAGGACATTATTAACTATACTGAACCCAAGCTGGGATACACCCGAGACAGGTTTGTCATTTCCAGCATGCAGATTGAGGTTTTTGAAATACACGCATGACCCAGTAATGTGATTGCATTGTTGGGGTGCTTTAAGGATGTTAGTGCGATGACATCAGTTTTGTTCCAGATTATGTACTATAGAGTGGTGCTGTAAACGTTAACAAACATAAAAATAAAGTGCTAAGACGTTTTCAGACTAACGAGTAGAATACAGTCTCCTTGCTAAGCAGATGCGACTTTTTTGGTTGTTAGTAGCCCAAGGGTCAGTTTCAAAATGTTCTCAGTTTCTGGTGTGTCTTTGCATTTTCCACTATTTCCCACAGTACCCTTTGGTTTTTGTTTCACTGTTGATTCTGAATAAGACCACAGTGTTAATCTTTGAAAGTTTTGGGTCCATGACTCGGGCCCTCTTGTAGAGTTCTCTGTTTAAGAGTAATATGTGCAGCTCTTTTTATCCTATCAGTACAAGGGATTCTTTTATGCCTGGTTAGTGTATTTTTCTTTCTGGGACATATTTTAGAGACTGACAGCATTTTTGCAATTTGGTGACCAAACTGTACATTCTGTTATAAACATGGTATTAAAATTGCATTGTGCAAGTTGAATATCTCTTAATTTAAATTTTATAGTTTTAACGGTGCTCCAGAAGAAATGCACTACTCCATGAACGCCTGTTTTTACGAGAATTTTGGATGCTGATTAAGTGTTTCTGTCACCACTGTGATGGATTATTCGTGACAACTCGAATGATGTTGTATAAGCACTAAATCATATCTTTAAGTTAACTTGTTGCGTGTCAATCTTGTTCAAGGAAACAGAAATTAGCCAATATGCTCCGAAAGGCATATTTATAAAAAGTCTTCTGAGATTAATAAACCATATCATAAGATGTATCCATGATGTAATTGTAGATTTTGTAGGTACAACAGGTGCTTGTCTCCAAGTTAAAGCAACAAATCCTAATTCAATCCATGTTGACTGGACCCTGGAATCTGATTGTTTTCGGTAACCTTACATGTAATAGAAGGCCCATTGCTCTGTAACTGGTTCAGTTTTGTCACAGATTATTCACAGTTTTCAGTTTCTAGTGTTGAGGTGTATGAAGATGAACAATGAATGCATGTTGTGACTTGTGTTTTCACAGTCCTGGATTTCTGAGATTTGTACGGGTCCTCTGCGGCATGTCCTCAGATGAAAGAAAAGCATTCCTACAGTTCACTACAGGATGCTCAACTCTTCCCCCGGGTGGCTTAGCTAACCTTCATCCCCGACTCACCATCGTGCGCAAGGTACACCCATTCTGGAAATCTGAGTTTTTGAGCTATAACCTTAGTAACTAAAGGCTTACCTGTAAAATGTTTTAAATGCATTAAATATGATACTACAAAACATTATTTGAAAAGATGTTGTGACAGATTATTGGTTGTCTGCTACTTTGTATGTAGTATAGAACATAACCCACAAGGTACATTTAACAAGTTACATTTCTATTTTTAGAAGACCTTATAATCTAAAGACTTTCCTTTCATGTTTGCTGTCCAGCAGCCTGACATCTACTTATTCTTATACTTTTTTATATATTTCACTTTCTAGGTTGATGCAACAGATGCAAGCTATCCATCAGTTAACACATGTGTGCACTACCTGAAGCTTCCTGAGTATTCCTCAGAGGAGATCATGAGAGAGCGCTTGCTGGCTGCTACCATGGAGAAAGGCTTTCATCTTAATTGAGCAGTCTGCATCCCCAGTTGATAAAACAGAACTTGATACTGAAGAAGCCTGTCGTGTTTGTTACAAAAAAAATCCCTAGCTGTGCTCTGATGAGACTTCCTTTTTTCCCAAAGCTTTAGGAAAAAAGTAATGTATTAACTCTACTAGCTGCTGCTGAACATGCAGGAAATATTCCTGTACCCTACTCGGCCAGCAAATTATGGCACAGAGCACTGTGTGCTGCTTCAAGGGCTTGTGAGACTGGAATCCAGGGCAGTTTGTTTGTGTTTTCATTGTTTACCATTTCATTTCCACCTGAACATGTGTGTGAAGTTTCATGTAATTCTGTGCACCAGTTATCTGGGTACACTACATTTATCATAAATTGGTTCTTCTGTCTGCTGTCCTCTCCCATTTTGCTGGCCTTAGGCAAAGTGGTGAAAAGCCTGCTTTGATAGATTTGTAACTAGAGTGTATGGGCCTTTCTTGAACAGGTTTTAATTTTTACTAGTGCCTGCACCGTTTGAGTATTAGTTTCTTTTCTTCCTTGCTCATCTTAAGTATACAATCATGCACATGCTTTTGTTCTTCTTCTTGCTTTCGTTATCGTGTGTTTTGACTCTTTAATGCCCTGCTACGAAGATCAAATCCCTGAGTGCATTTGTGTAATTTTACTATAAAGCTATAGGAAAAAAACACTGGTTCTAGGTGCAAGGCACATTTAAAGCAAGCTAAGCTTTCCCTTGTATTTTCTTTGTATATTATAAACATTTATTTAACTCGAGTTGCAGTTTGAAGTAAACTATTTTCAAAGGTGTATGCTCCAAAAATAATCATTAAAATGTTTGCAAAGTATAGCTTCTGTTGTATTGTTTTACTTGTAATTTAGGGGATAAATGTGAACCTTCCACACTGTCAACAGTTTAAGCTGCTTGTCTCAAAATGCAATAAATATGAAGAAACAAAAAAACATGGCAATCTTTAACTTTTAGTTATCTAATGCATCAGACAAGTGTTATTAATGAAATTGTAAGATTTATTCTGTTAAGTACAAGGTAATTCCATACTGCTTCGGACCCATCATGAAATGCTGATTTCTTAGTCTCTTCAATCCCCATATGAAATTTAAGAGTCCTGGCTTCAGTTGTTCCCTTAGCTTTCTGCCATTTTGTCAAGGGCTAGTAAAGGGGCCAGGATCCTGTTTTTATTCGTTTCCACAATGCGTCCATTCAGTATAATTTCATCCAAAATGATGTGCACTTTCTCCAGGTTAAACATTATCTGAGGGTGTAAGAGTTAAAGACATTTTCTCTTGAGTTCAAATGCTTCAGTCATTCAATCATCTAATTCATGAAACTGTTATAGAAAGAAAAGTTATTAACTCTAGGTCTGCAAATATTGAATACCTCTTTTTGTTAACAGTAGCATTCATAACTGTCCAGTAGGTGGAGCTCTCTTAGTGTGAGGCTGCCCAGTGATGTATGCAGCACAACTCTAAAACAGTCAGCACACCTCTGTGCCAAGAACATCAGGAGACTGATATCATTGAGCACTCACTTGGGCACATTAACGCAAATTGGAATAGGCCAGCTAAAGTCTGTTAAACATCTAGACCGCTGTAAATTACTGTTCGCTCAACAGAGAGGACAGCTCGAGGCCACACAGCAGCCCCTGCTGGCCGAGTGAGGCGTGACTAGTGCAGGGAGAGGAAGTGCTCAAACCCAATCCATGGCCAACGCCAGCTGGGTGAAACAGGCCACCTTACTATCTGGAACTGGAGCGCCTGAACTTGCAAACTGCGGTAGATTACACAAAGCAGTGTATGATGGGCAAACCCTTTTCTTTCGACAGTTCTTTTAAATGCCTTGTTCATGTCGGTCTTTCTTCTTGATGGGACAAACCAGTTATAGTTTCCTTTTCTCTGAACGAAGTTAGAAGCTTGTAAAGGACCTCGTGTGTTTGATAAACGTCCAGATAGTCAGGCATGTGGTCTTGGCGAGGGACATTCATCATTAGCTAGAGGGACTATAATTGGAAAATGTATTCAAAAGATATTTCACAGTACAGGAAGGAATACAATTGAAAAGCACTTAAAACAGTCCTGAATCAAGAACCTCCGTTTAAGCAACTAACCAAAAATGCACTGTTTTTAATTGAAAGCCTGTAACAAAAGTTAAAGCTAGAAGAGTTATAAAAAGGATACATCCAGCTCACTCTGTAGGGGAAAAATAATATTTACATATAACATTCTTTGAAACCTCAAAGGTTCAGTACTACATTATTACTAGTTACACATCATCAGTCTATAGTGGCTTCAACGTCATGAAGTGTAACAAACATTGCACCCACACATTAACGTTTAAATGTAAAACATTTAAATTCCAATAACATTTATTTTGCATGAGTGTAGTTCCTGGTATAAAAAAAAATATTTTTGAACAAAAAAGTAATTTTCCCTGAAATGATAAAACGAAGATGTGACCGTTTTTTTAACTGGCAGCTCTGTAGTTTTAAAAAAACACTGAGCCATGAGAGGAGAAGAAATGAATGGTGCTTACCACTCTGCTGAAATACTTGTCAAGCACTTCCACAAAATTCTGTATAAGCTCGTAGACTGCCAGCTCGTTCTGGAAAAAAAAACCCAGCTTTGCCGTTTATGAGAGGAATTTCTGGTTTTGTGGGGGTGACTAGTTAATTGTTTTTATACAGTGATTCCACTTTCCCTTAGTCTGACAGCTCACATCACAATGGTACTCAAAGACACCTATATTGGTAGAGTGTAGCATCCACACTGTCTTATGCACGATCTCTCAAGAAGTGTAAACTTGATTCTGCAAGGCACAACTTTCCTCAGTGTTAGACGAAAGTCCATAGAACTGACCCACTTAACACCTGATCACAGTGTATCCATCCTTGCATTTTCTAACTACCTTCTTCCCATTTAGGGTTACTGGGAGCCGGAGCCTATCCAAGCAGGCTACAGGTGCAAGGCAGGATACACACTGGACGGAGGGCCAGTTCATTGCTGGGCACACATCCACAACTAGGAACACTTTTTCCCAGAAGCCAATTAAGCTCCCAGCATGCTTTTGGACTGTGGGAGGAAACCGGAGCACCCAGAAGAAACCCATATGAACACGCAGATAGCACCCCAGGTCCAGAATTGAATTCAGGGCCCAGTGCTGTGACAATGCTATCCACTGTACCATTGTGCTGCACTCACTGGGTATCATTTAAAAAAAATATATATGTACGCTGAATTTGAGAGGCAGGATGCAGAGGTCTGAAAAATAACTAAATGCATTGGAAAACCTGTTACAAGGCACTGTAATAGAAACTTATAGCTGGACCATAATATTCAGTGCTGTGTGTGTTCATAAAAGGAAATATACAAAACACACTAGCTTACCTCAGTGTCGTCCACCCCAACCACGATGAAAAGTGCTGCATACTGTCGATAAATGAGCTTGAAGTCTTTATATTCAACAAAGGAACACTGAAAAAACAGTACACCTCATTAGAATCTACACAGCTTCTTCTTTGAAGAGTCAGTCCATAACTGTCTCCAATACGCATACAATTCCACAGTCACAGGCTAGTTAAAATGAATCACATGACTTTACGCTTCCCAACAGTACAATAATAAAGAAAATATAAAATGACCGAATGAAAGGTATTTCATTGGTTTCTAGGTAAGTATTATTTCATGTGGAACTGGGGTAGTTTAAGACTGGTAACATACAATAACATCCATAACAACAGCTTTACTTCTGTATTCAGCCTGCCAGGCGAAAGTGGCATTATTGTTAAGATATGGGACTTAACCAGTGTTAGCACTCTCATCGCCCTGATTATCTTTCAATAACAATACAGTTCAGTAGAATTCGACCAGGGTTTCTGGATAAATACCCCATGATGATTCCCAAAAATCAATTCCATATTGCATACCTCCTCTTTTCTCCGGGACAGGCAGTTTTTAATGACTTCAGCTTCCAAATACATTCGCTTCTGAATATCCAGGTGCTCGTAGTACTTGGACAGGCGTGTCTGACCCTGCTTGTTGACCATCAGGAAAAACTTGATCATGTTTTTCTGGAGGCTCCTGCGGCTTTCTCTCTGAAGAGCAATAAGTCTAAATAAATATTGAGCTTTCAAAAGCAAAAGCAGATGGAAGCTGCAGGGAAGCTGCAACAGTATGTGAACAATATAAACTGTGGCTTAGTGGTCTAATTTGAGCCGTTTTAATACACCTTAGTTGCATGAGAAAAAAAGAGGCTGTGAGGTGTTCTATTACATATTCTATGAAAAATGCAAAACAAATAATCAAGCACACAAACAGACATGGTACATATGGGAAACTGAAGTGGGGAGAGCAGGAACAAAGTTTTCCTTTCCTTTGGGCTCCCTTCTAACACGAGCCATAACTGTTCCCTGCAGTGCAGAGAGGCTCAGACTCCAAACTGGAGCCCAACGAAGTCCAGCAGTTTCTTTTCTTGATCCAATTTTGAAATCAGAACCCGCCTGTATTTTCTTAGCTAATGGTAATGAAATCATGCACGAAAATTTGCATTCGGTGAAACAAGGAAAAATACCTTAGAAACTCTTTATCACAGGAAGGGTAATTGGGGTATCTAATATGACAGAAGGATGCAGAGAGGGATAGGTGTGATGTGATATCCAGCTCAGTGTACAATGCGGATAGTGTATAGGTAGTGTGGAAACAAGGCGCAGTGTCTGATTCTTCAACCTGAACAGCAAGATGGGAATATCTCCTACATCTCAGATCTCTTACAAAGCACAACCAAATCTGTTTACACATTTTTTGTCCCTCCTTGTCTCTGGGGCACTCTGAAATGACAAGTGTGCTGTATATATTAGCAAGGAGAACGTGTTCTTTGCCAATGAGCCACAAAGGTACAGCCCCAAATAACCCTTTTACTTGCATACAGTCACGTCAAACCCCCAAACAAAACAACTGAGACACTCCGAGGAAAGCATGGAGCTAAATGGCTGACGCTAAATTTACCCTAAATAGATATACGAGGAGTAGCACAGTGGTAAGCATTGCTGCCTCACAGAGCCGGGGCCGAGGTTCAATTCCCAG